CCGTTGACTTGGAGGGAGAAAGACACAGGAGTAGTAGCATTTGTGGGAAGAAAGACCAGAATTTCAGTTTTGGTCAAGCTGAGTTTAAGGAAGTGGACAGCCATCCAGTTAGAAATAGCAGGGAGGCAGTCAGAGACACTGATCAAGAGGGACGGGGAGAGATCAAGAGAGGACAGGTAGATTTGCGTGTCATCCGTATAGAAATTATATTGGAAGCCAAATGAGTTTACCAAGGGAGGAAGTATAGATAGATAACAGTAGGGGACCAAGGACTGAACCTTGGGGGACACCAACAGAGAGGAGTTGGGGAGAAGAAGCAGAGCCAGAGAAAGAAACACTAAAAGAGCACTGGGAGAGTTAGAAGGCAGTGGCGTACTAAGGGGGGGGCGGGAGGGGCGGTCCGCCCCGGGTGCCAGCCGGGTGGGGGGTGCCATGGCCAGCCCCCGCCCCCCCCCCCATGCTGCAGCCGCCCGAGCGCTCTGTAAAGAGCCTCAGGCGGCTGCAGCTTTGCCCGGGCGGTGCGTCCATGAGGGCGGACCGCACCGCCCGGGCGCAGCCTGAGGAGAGGGGCTGACAGGAGGGAGCGCTCAGCGCTCCCTCCTGTCAGCTCCCTCTCTGTAGCGTGGCCGAGCCCTGTATAGTCGGCGGGTACAGGGAGCAGCTGTCTCCTGTACCCGGCCGGACTAACAGGAAGTGCACACACTGTGTGCACTTCCTGTTAGTCCGGCCCGGTACAGGAGACAGCTGCTCTCTGTACCCGCCGACTATACTGGGCTCGGCCACGCTACTACACAGGTAGGGGAGGGGGGAAGAGAAAGGAGAGGGGGGGTGAGAGAAATTAGGAGGGGGGAAGAGAAATTAGGAGGGGGAAAGAGAAATTAGGGGGGAGAGAAATTGAAATTAGAAGGGGGGGATAGAAATTGAAATTAGGAGGGGGGAAGAGATATTAGGAGGGGGAAAGAGAAATTAGGGGGGGAGAGAAATTTGGAGGGGGGTGAGAAAGAGAAATTGGGAGGAGGAGAAGGAAATTGGAGCGGGAGGAGAGATTGACATTCATCACACACAATGCACCCCTTGTACACAGAAAAACACACAATGCATTACACACACACACACACACATACACAAGCAATGCAACCGTTACACACAATGCATCCCTTACACACACAGAAACACACAATGCATTCATTACACACACTCAATGCACCCCTTACACACATTCAATGCATCCCATACATACACAGAAACACACCTTGCAGCCCCTACACATACAAACACAGATTCACACAATGCATTCCTTACACACATATCAGGACATCCCCCTACTCCACCCCCTGTGAACAAACTCATTGGTGGAACATGAAGGTGGACCCTGGGACCCAGACCTTGAGCTGTGTAAAGGACCCCAAAAAAATGGAGCTGCTTCCAGTTCTCCCAGAACATTGATTTTTGTGACCACAGTTACAAACCGCCTCCAGAGAGCCTGTTCTGCACCAGACCAGTGGAGCCAGACTGCAGCTAGAGCCCATCATCATCCTCATCTGGTTGTAAGTAGGCAATCTAGTATATTATTCGTGGCACTAATCTCTAATTTACCTCACATTAAAGAAACACTATAGTCCCCAGAACCACTTCAGCTTAATGTAGTGGTTCTGGTGTCTATAGCCTGTCCCTGCAGGCCTTTTAATGTAAACACGGCGGCACTGCAGCACTGGCGTTAGTTAACATGGCAAATCATATGGGTGGGGCATTGTGATGTCACATGGGGGGGCGGCAAACTTTACTTTTGCCTAGGGCGGCAAAAATCCTTGCACCGGCCCTGGCTGGAGGGGGCTGTGTGAGCTGTGGCCGCACAGTGTCCCATGGTAGTTAGGGTGCCGTGCGGCCAGTACAGCTCACACAAGCAAACAGCTGATAAACTGGCCGCACGGAGGAAATGTGTATGTGTGACTGTCTGCCTGTGACTGTATGTGACTGTCTGTCTGTAACTTAGTGTGTGACTGTCTGCCTGTAAATGTGTGTGTGGGGCTGCAGGGATTTTGTAGAAGGGGGCGGGGGTTTTGTATTGGGATAGGAGTCTTTATAAGGGGGGATAAGCAGGGGATTTGTGGAAGGGGGTTGCAGGGGTTTTGTAGACGAGGCAGTACAGGATTTGTAGAAGGGACAGGACAGAGGTTTTGTAGGAGGTGCAGGACAGGACAAGGGTTTTGTAGGAGGGGCTGACAGTGGTTTTGCAAAGTTTACAAATTGTAAAAAAAAAGAAAGAAAACCTTTAACATTTTTTACAGGTTTTTTTTTTTTTTTTTTGGGTGGGGGGGGGGGTGCCAAGCACAGGATCCGCCCCGGGTGCCAAATGCTCTAGGTACGCCCCTGTTAGGAGGAGCACCAGGGGAGAGCAATATATTGTAGACTGATATTGCGGAGGATGCGAAGAAGCTGTTGATGATCAACAGTATCAAAAGCTGCAGAAAGGTCAAGGAGAATTAGGTGACCATGAGATTTTGCAGCGAGTAGATCATTGGATACTTTGGTCAGTGCCATTTCCACAGAGTGCTTAGGGTGGAAACCAGACTGAAGCGGGTATAGCAGAGAGTTGGACTCGAGGAAGTCTGTCAATCTCTGATACACAACTCTTTCAAGGATCTTGAATGCAAAAGGCAGTAGTGAAATAGGACGGTAGTTGGATGAGGAGTTACAGTCAAGGCTGGGCTTCTTTAGAGTTGGGGTTATAGTTGCAAGTTTGAAGGGCGATGGAAATATGCCAGAGGAGAGAGAGAGATTGAGAATTTTAGTGGGAGGTAGAGAAAGAGAAGAAGACAGAGTACGGATGCGAGGGAATTGGATCTAGGGAGCAGGTGGTGGGGCGGGAGGACTGGTGCAGAGCAGAAATCTCTTCCGCTGTAGAGAGCACATCTACTATGAAGAGCTCATAGATAAAGGAAAAGATCATCTTTGGTAAACATCCATACCAGCGGGACCAGCCACGAATGGAGTGAGAAGGTGAACGGCTATTTGAATATCCTTCATCCACAGAGGGCTGGTGAGCGAGCTCTGGATGTTGACACATCTCTGCATATGTTTTTACCACATTGGTAATAACCCTTCACATGTATATATTTTTTAAAAGAAGACAACCTAAGGTATTAATCGTGGGGTATTTTGACTCTTTTTGCAACCATTTTACCACCAATCTATGCCAAATTAATGGTGATGGTGATACTACCCATGTATAGGTGTGTCAGGTTCTCAGGGGGATAAAAGACCTTATTTTGAGGGTGACCATTCCAGTTTTCCAACTTGGCATTTTCACAGCTGGTCATCATGCACCCATGTCCTATTTGGGAAATTTTTTGAAGCCGGACAATGTAATTTATCCCCATCAATCCATATATTTTTGAAAAGTAGACAACCCAGGGTATTCAATATGGGGTATGTCCAGTCTTTTTTAGTAGCCACTTAGTCACAAACACTGTTAGCATTTATATTTGTTTGTGTGTTAAAAATGCAAAGAACAATTATCAATGCTAACTTTGGCCAGTGTTTGTGACTAAATGGCTACTAAAAAAGACTGAACATACCCCATTTGCAATACCTTGGGTTGTCTTCTTTTGCAAATGGTATGCCATCATGGGGGTAATTTTCATTCCTGAGCTACCATACGCTCTCAAAGACAACATAACCAATCTGGCAAATTTCATTGTGAACAAACGGCCTTATATTTGACCCTGTAACTTTAAAAACACTATTAAAAAAACACTATAAAACCTGTACATGGGGGACTTCGCTGAACGCAAATATTAGTGTTTCAAAACAGTAAAACGTATTACAAAAATTATATCATCAGTGAAAGTCCAGTTTGTGTGTGAAAAATGCAAAACATCACTTTCACCGACAATATCATCGCTGTGATATGTTTTACTGTTTTGAAACAGTAATCTTTGTGTTCAGAGAAGTCTACTGAGTAAAACAGTACCCCCCTGTACAGGTTTTAGGGTGTCTTGGAAAGTTAGAGGATTAAATATAGTGCTAGCAAATTAAATTCTCTAGAATTTGTGCCTAGGTTGTCAGGCAGGTCCCCCAAATTGCAATCAATAAAATTACTTAATAATGTAAAAATATAACATAAATATGCAAGTAGAATTTAAATATATATACATAATTATATATCTGAAGTTTACGTGTATATTTATAAAATTGTTCATGTAATTATGTATATTTTCATATTATTTTTATTTATATATATATATACATATAGATATATATATAATTTCATTCAAGTGTATTTTGAAATATATATATATATATATATATATATATATTAATATCAAAATACAGTTAAAATAAAATTATATATATATTTTTTAGTTTTTAATTATTTATTTTTTAGAATAATATATATACAATATATATAGTTATTATATATATGTGTGTAATTTTACTCTTAGTGTTTTTTTATATTAATATATGTACATATTAATAAAAAAATACACTTAGTATGAGATTATATATAAGATATATACACAATATATGTATGTGCATATATATATATATATTTATTTTTATTTTTTAAATTTCAGAGCAGAAGACCATGGAGCAGAAGACCGATCGCCGGCGGGGGAATGGCGGCGATCAGGTAAGTACATAGAAGAGGGAGTGAAGGTGTTATTTTTTATTTTAATTTTTTTTTTTCTTATTTCTTCACTGAGTGCCTCGACCCCTCGAGGCACTCAGCACAGTGGCGGGTAGCGATCATGATCACTTCCAACGGTCTAATTCCCCGCGGACATATCAGGTACGTCCGCGGTCCTTAACCGCTTAAGGACACAACTACAGAATTAAAAGGGAATCTTAAGGACTGTTTTTTGTCAGACGTACCTGATACGTCCGAGGTCGGGAATGGGCTAATAGAATTAAACTTGCTCCATCAAGCTCTGACTTTAAATAGCAGGAGCATTTATACTATTGGTTGGCATCATTTAAGAATGCCTAAAGACTTTCCTATGTTCGCGCTCAGAGTCACTCAACTCTGTCATCAGTGCGGCAGATTACTAAAAGATTTTCACGAGCAGCATGCAGCGTCTGTACTGCCGTTGGATCAGGGAGAAGGAGCGTTGGAACAGGTAAACATTACAGTGTAGGCCGTTCTTAACCCCTTAAGGACCAAATTTCTGGAATAAAAGGGAATCATGACATGTCACACATGCTTCCTGGCTGTCCGGTGATGCACTTCCAGGCTGGACTGGCCCAACGGGATCCAGGGAAATGTCCAGGTGGGCCATGGCATCTGGGGCCCAGCAGACAGCCCTTATCATCAGGCTAATGTCATTTAAGTATTTTCCCCTTGGACTGTGCCAGTCCGAGGGGATTAAAGAGGGAGGATTTGGGGGCTGGTGCAGCCGCAATTAGGCTACTGGTGGCCGGAGGGAAACCTGTCAGTCTCCCTTCAAAATTGACATAAATTTCGGCCGCATGCCCCACACCCACACGTAAGCCCCTCCTCGAACATAGTTCCGCCTCCCGTACACAAGCCCCACCTCTGCTAGTGAGTAAGCTTGTGTGTGGCTGCTAGTGAGTGAGCTTGTATGTGTATGTCAGTGAGCATGTCTGTAGTGAGCATGTGTGTGTCAGTGAGCTCGTCTGTTGGGAGCATGTGATTTTATGTCAATGATCTTATGTATACCAGTGAGATTGTTTGTCTATGAGGCTGTGTATGTGTCAAGAATATATGGTGGTCCTACACGCAGAGTGTAAAAGAATAGTAAAAGAAATCAGAAACAACGAGGAAGCATGTGTGTGGCCTGGGAAAACTTCAGGCTTAACCATACCCCATGCACCCAGACCCTGCAAGATCACAGTTCATGTGCATGAATTGTAGAAATAATAAAAATAAAATAGAAACTAAAAAGGCAGTGTGAGTGCAACCATGCTAACCCATTAAACAGTGCATAGCGTGACATGCACTATTCGGTGTGTGACTATAACAAAACAACATGTGTAAATACATATGTGGCACCTTGGCACAGGGGGCGTAATTCCGAAATTACACACTGAAGCACCATATACCACCTGGGATAATGGCAGCATGTAACCGACCACAGCATAAAAGCAATAGCTAGACTATTGGGACAAAATAGCAGACAAGAAAAAAAAATACATATGTTTATTGCGTCAGGATCACACAGAAGAAAAAGTGTGGAAATAAAAATTATTACTTTGAAGCATATCAAGAAAATCCAGAACATGGAAAAAGGAGGAGCATAGGACCGAACACATGCGAACGCATCCAGTGTGTAGTAAGTACACCACTTCATGAATAAAGAGCACTGTATATAAAGTGCTAAGGTGTATCTAAGTTTTAAAGAGCCACTACTACTTAAGGTACATAGAAGTGGCACTGTGAACAAAGTGCAGTCATACTAAAGTGCCACATATACTTAAAGTGCATAATAATATTAAAGTGACACTAATTATAAAGTGCACAAACTATTAAAGTGCAATTCATTTTTATAGTGCAACAAATTTTTAAAGTGCATGGTATGTTAAAGTGCCTCTTATTGTAAGATAACCATAACCACAATGCAGTACTATACAAAACTGGACGGGAGGACTGGTTTACAATTAACTTAAAAACAAATTAATGTTAGGCTAGGAGCAAAAATTTTTTTAGATAGTAGTTTTAACTTCAAACATTCCAAATATATCCACACAAGAAGAATTCAGAGGAACGAATAATAGGGTATCGTCTCATTAAGTCCTTTGGGGGACATAGACTGAAATTCGTGTATCCAGTATACTTCCCTATTGAGAAACATTCCGCCCCGGGTACCTCGTCTTGATACTGGAACGTGATCAATTGCTAAAAATGTAAGCATAGTTAAAGGACCACTATAGTGCCAGGAAAACAAATTCATTTTCCTGGCACTATAGTGCCCTGAGGGTGCCCCCACTCTCAGGGTCCCACTCCCGTGGCGCTGAGGGGGGTGGAAGGGGTTATTCCCTTACCTTTTTTTCCATCTTACTGACAGCCACTAGAGGCGCTGCACCTCCATAGGAAAGCATTTTGAAAGCCGGAGGTTTGAATGCGTTTGTGGCTCTTGCCGCGCATGCGCATTCAGCGCTGACATCAGCAGAAGGAGAGTTCCCCGGCGCTGGAGCAAGGTAAGTGTTTTAACCCCTTTAGCCCAGCGGGAGTGGGACCCTGAGGGTGGGGGGGACCTAAAGACCCTATAGTGCCAGGAAAACTAGTTTGTTTTCCTGACACTATAGTGGTCCTTTATTGCACGTATGCAAGTCTTCTACAGGTGCTTTAACCCCTTAAGGACACATGACATGTGTGACATGTCATGATTCCCTTTTATTCCAGAAGTTTGGTCCTTAAGGGGTTAAATAGATGGTCCAGCCATTTAGCAGCAGGCTCTAGCACCTCATCAATGGGGATACAATTTCTGTTATCTTGTTCTGGATTTGTACAGTAGGATCTTGAGTTAGTTGATAGTATTTCTGTCTATCTGCCAATTGTTGTTTCAACTCCTGTGAGTAATAGTTATAGTCCATAATGACTATACCTCCGCCTTTATCAGCCGGTCTTATGGTGATAGTTGCGTCATCTGCCAAATCCTTAATAATCTTCCTTTGGAATTTCGTCATATTGTGATGTCTTCCTGTATACTTAGCCATCTTTTCTTTAACTTCGTTGTTAGTAACTGTCAGGAACAGTGGAGGGTTTATAATGTTTATAAAAACTGCAATAATTACACTTGCAGGGTTAAGGGTGATGGGAGTTGCCACCCAAAACACTCCAATGGGCAGAAGTGGTCTGGGTGCCTGGAGTGTCCCTTTAATATATATATATATAGGCAACAGAGCAGTTTATGTCAGTTTGGAATTGCAGTAAAAAAGTTAATAGCAATTTGGAACACCTGAATTTTGCTTAGCCCTACAAATATAAAATTAAATTCTTTGTTTTTTAAGTTACAGAGATAAAAGATATAGAAGGGGATGGATTAAAGTAATGAGTCTTTACCACAAATGTTTCCAGCAATGTGACACCCCCTCAACCCATTTAAAGTAAACTAATTACATGACCAACCTCATGGCTGCCATGGGAGATACAAATGTACCTTTCCACCATCACACTCAGCTGGCAGGCACAGAGCAGGTTTGGGATGTGTGTGTGTGACGTCAGAGGCGACAGCTAGAGGGAGTCTTGTTCCTGGTTCTCAGGTAAGACACCAGCTGCTGGAGGAGGGAGGAGGAGGAGGGGGACTTGTTCACCTGCTGCAGTGCCTACAGGCAGGGGTGGGGGAGTCAGAGAGCCACTTACTAAAGGCCAAACAGTGCTGCACCTACATATAGGAGGAGGAGAAATACACTGCATTTAACCATGAGAGTGCAGGGCTGCACTAACTTGATTTCTGTCATTTAATAATAATAATAATTAATAAGAGGGAGGGTGCGCTAAGGATTTAGATTTTACATGGAAAAGAGAAAGCCAAACAAAAAGATGAAGCCTTCAATAAAATGGTGGAGTGAGGATCTGTTTGCAGTGGAAACTAATACTGACAGGAAACACCAACATGAAGGAAGCTGGGAGAGTGAGAGCACTGATTATAGGAATGCAGTGCTAGTATGTGAGCACAGGATTAATGCTGGCAACAATTAATGTGTATGACCTTTGCCCCCCCATTTAGGCACTGACATTGTATCCCCCCTCCCTCACATCCAGGTATTGTCATTGTAGCCCCCCTTCTCCATGCAGTGTCATTGTTTGCCCCCCTATCCAGGCATTGACATTGTATCCCCCTCCCTCCCATCCAGGTATTGTCATTGTAGCCCCCCTATCCAGGCATTGACATTTACCCCCCCCCTCCTCCCATCCAGGTATTGTCATTGTTTGCCCCTATCCAGGCACTTACATTGTATTCAACCCCCCCTCCTCCCATTCAGGTATTGTCATTGTTTGCCCCTATCCAGGCATTAACATTGTATCCCCATCCAGGCATTATCATAGTATGCAATATCATTGTAGCTCCCCTCCAGGAATTGTCATTACAGCCCCCCACTCTCCAGGCATTGTCACTGTGTGGCCCAATGCTCCATCCTTGGGAGGGCTGTGAGAGTGCAGGAGAAGGAGGAGCTGCAGGAGGAGGGGGAGGAAGCTCCCTGTGCTTGGGTGACGTTGCAAGGGATACACCGTGCAGCTTCCCCCATCACAGGCCCTGGGATCGGCTCCTGGAACTCTCAGCTTATTCACTAAATTCCATCCCAGGTAGCGATATGTGAATTATGTCCTTTTATTCTCTGCCGCTGTGTGTCTGGTGCCTGGGCTCCTCACTCTCTGTCATTTCCCAGTGAGTCTGGCTGGCTCTCTGCAGGTGATTTCCCTGTACATGGCTGTGGGTTATGGGGAGGGTGGACAGGTGCTTGTCTGCAAAGCTGGGGTGTTAATGGGCTTTTTTTCAATCAGATCTATGTCACCCTGTACCACATCTAACATAATATTGGGAATTCACTGTTTCTGTGCTCAACATGTAGTATACCAAAAATTCCCCCTATATCCATATGTTCATTAAAAGCAATACCAGGTTAACTAGTGACCCCCTGAGCATGGTGTGACTTCTAGCCCTCTGTAGTTATTTATCTCTACCTGAAGGGTGGCCAGCACAAACCAACATCTGTAGATTAACAACAACTCCCATTATGCTGTGCCTGTCTTTAGGGAGTTGCAGTTATGCTCCAGCTGTGAGCTAGCTTTTAGCCAACCCCACTGTGGCTTACTAAACTTGAGATATCTTGTGTCAAACAGGATTTACATTTTTTTTTCTCGATTTTTGGATGTGCATCTCCTGTTAATATTCTCTAATGCAACAAGTAGGCCAGACACATCATATAACTCCATAGAGCCCAGTCACAGAATATTTAAATGACAAGAAAGTAATAGACTATTCCTCAGGCTTCTTAAAAGTATATTTGGTTTTATATCATCTTTGAGTACACCTTAGAAATTGGCTGACATCTCATTTAAGTTTGAAGAGGTTAAACTGTTTTTATAATTTTTGTATCTATGCAGGTATACTTAACATCTATGTCTTAAGTTCCTTAGTCACCAGTTTAATGTAATGTACAATAGCCAAGGGCGACATAAACATCACATGGCGTCCAAAAACACGGAACATTTACATAATACTTGTATAATCAAGTAAATAATAAAAAGAGGGATTTATTTGAGAATTGCAAGGTGTCGCACACAATGTTGTCTTTTGTTGTGTGAATAGTCAGGTTAGACAGATTAATATATTTTTCAGGGGATTAAGGTGAAATGTTTTGTTTATTTTTATAATGGTTTTATCACCAGCTAAATGTTTTTCCTGTGTGTGCAGATACACATGGTTATTTAAGCTTTTTTATGTAAATCCAATTTAAAGGAACACTGTATGTACTGTAATCACTACATTGTGCTGTAGTGGTTATGGTGCCAAGAGTGCCCTGCCCCTCCATGTAAGTAGTCAAACCATTTGAGAAGCATAGAAGAACTAACAGAAGGTCCTAGTGGGATCTTACAGCTGTTTTGGAGTTTGCAAATAAGCAGGGAGCAGAACCATGTACCCCCCACATAAGAAGTCAAAACATTCTAAAATGGTTTGACTACTTACAATGAGGGGTTGCCGGGGCCCTCCTGGTTATGGTGTTTGGAGTCTTCCTTTATAATATGAAACCAAACTAGTTGAATTCATTAAAAAAAAAAAAATCTTTTCAATTGGGATATTTTGGTCTAAAATTTTAAATCACTTTGAACTTCTGTAGCGTCATACCTTAGTATCTGATCTTAATCGTCTGCCTGACTGAGTGAATGTACACCTGTGCACTCCCATAATGCCACTGGCTCAATACAAAATGCAGGTATTTCAACCACCTTGGTGTGACTTGGAGGGAGAGCGAAAGGTAGCTACATTTACCCAAACATCTCTCCTAAGTGCCATCATGTTTCTCTCGGAACTCCAGATTTTTTTTGCCATATTTTGCAAATAAATGTACACATATCTAAGAAAAAATTGTATCTACTTTCCCTTTTGTATAGAGTATGGTACTCTGGAGGGGGGGGGAATCTTTAACGGGACACTATAGGCATCCAGACCACTTAATCTCAGTGAAGTGATCTGAATGCCATGTTCCCCATGTTCTCTGCAGGAAAGCAATGTTTACATTGCAGGGATTAAATACCTCTAGTGGCTGTCACTCTGACAACTTTGTTTTCCTTTAAATCCTCTGATCAAAAGTACCATTTATCCAGCTGAAAACCATGAACTAATAGAGTGGCTGAAGCCAGTTCAGATTGTGATTTTCAGGTATCAGACATTTGAATTTTACATTAGGGTTTAATGTGAAAGATGTTAGTCCTCATATAGCAACACACACTGGCATGTGCACTGAGAAGAGATATATTGGAGCATGGGTGTCCAACCTTTTGGCTTCCCCTGGTTACATTGAGTGAAGAGGAATTGTCTTGGGCTGCACATAAAATATATAATATAATTTGTCTATACAATAAAACTTTGAAAACCCTTTTTATTAAATTTGATATTTCATCTGTTTATTATCATATGTGGGATTTCCATATTTAAGGATACCAATTTAGGGAACTATTTACTAAACACCTGTATATACATTACTTATAACCAAAGATATACACACACACATTCACAGACCTATGCATACCGACATACGCAATCACAGTCACACACCCTCAAACACACACATAGAATCACATATACTCACAATCACAAACCTATACACATAATCACAGACCCACACACTTACACACAAAATTACGCATATACAAACTCATAATCGCAGGCATTACACAAACACAATCACAGAACCACAAACGCACACATACAATCACAGACCTATACACCCAATCACAGATACACACATATACAATCACAGACCTGAACACACATGCACATAATCACAGACCCACACAATCACAAACCCACACACTTGCAATCACATGCACACATAATTGGCATACACACACAAAAACCACATCATACACAAATAATTAGTAATTAAGAGGTCCACCCAGCCTCGCTACCTTGCTCTGGGAGGGCTGGAGTAGATCTTCTCCTTGGTGGCCAGTGATTGCAGCTGTGATGGGATAACTGTGCGCTTCCTGCACAGGTCCCTCATGCGCCCTCTAGTGATGCCGATGACGTCATGTCCCAGCTGCCGTTTCACGGTTAGGCGTAAAAGGGAACTGTGCAGAAAGAGCACAGTAAGTAATGTGCACCATGCCTCCCTCACCGCCCAGCAGCCTGGACGGCAACTGGTATGCATTACAAGCGATTCAGGGCCTCATGTGGCCTGCGGGTTGGACACACCTGGTGCAGAGGCTATAATATGCTTAATGTTTAATTTTAAATACTAAAACCAAAGATTTTCTTTAACGTTCACAAATAAACTACACTGAGAGCTAACATATAGAAATAAGCAGTTCATGCTTAAACTATCAAATGTCTATGTTTATACGCACTCGTTTTAAGAGTACAGCCACCTAAAGTACCAAAACAACGTTTTGGCCCTCTGCTGGGTAATTATGTTTGATAAAGGCTCCAGCAGAGAGCTGAAACAATAAAGACGGCTCACTAACAGCTATTTGAGTGCCCAGACATCTTTCTTTTTTTAAATTGATGATTTGTGTCTTCTTCAATTGTCATAGAATGTTATGGTGTTAAACCTCCCACCCCCTTTTTAAATTTTATTTTGTTTTACTTTGCTGGTTCCAGCACCGAGACTCCCTCCTCAGTGAAGGTTAAATCCAATGCTCCTCATAGAGTTTTACATTGCAGGGATAACAGGACAGGAACACTGCACCTAGACCACTTTGTTTAGATGAAGTAGTTTTCGGTGACTATAGTGTACTTTTAAGATAGTGGAGTGGTGAAGTAAGAACAGACTGGTAAACAGCTATACAACCCAATGAGCCAAAAGGCAAAGTCTTATTGCTCTAAAATTTTTGTATGATTCCAGTATCCTCATAACTGTAGATAGATAACTATAGTTACATTCACTATAGTGCCAGGGAAACTCGTTTTTCTGGCACTATAGTGCCCTGAGGGTGCCCCCACCCTCAGGTCCCCTCTGCCACCAGGTTCTAGGGGGTGGAAGGGGTTAAACTTAGCTCTTTCTCCAGCGCCGGGTGGGGAGCTTTCCTCCTCCTCTCCTCCTTCCTAGTGACGTCATCGGCTGAATGCGCATGCGTGGCAGGAGCCGTGCGCGCATTCAGCCAGTCTCATAGGAAAGCATTCATAATGCTTTCCTATGGACGCTGGCGTCTTCTCACTGTGATTTTCACAGTGAGAAGCACGCAAGCGCCTCTAGCGGCTGTCAATGAGACAGCCGCTAGAGGCTTTAGAGGCTGGATTAACCCTCAGTGTAAACATAGAAGTTTCTCTGAAACTGCTATGTTTATAAAAAAAAAAGGTTAATCCTATCTGGACCTGGCACCCAGACCACTTCATTAAGCTGAAGTGGTCTGGGTGCCTATAGTGGTCCTTTAATACAGAGAAATGGTTCAGTAACACTATATTCACTGCATATTACTAGAAGCTTTTCATCGGGGGGGGGTTGATTAAAATCATGGTTTAATTCACTAGTCGTCAAGACTCCATTTCAATAATGATTTTAAAATGTAAAGATTATTTCTTGCTGGTTTTTATAATATTTAATATTTGCAACCAGAAAAGATTTCATGTTCACAGAATAATACGTTTTCAGGTCAGTTTAACAGTTATATCAAAACTGATTTTGTCATATATAATTAGAAATAAATAAACATAAAAAATCAAGGTGAACGAACTCCATTTTAGTAGGTTAATCACTCGTATATGGAAAACAATTTAAATTAAATTAAAAGGTGTTTGTTGTCTGTACATAGATTTACACAATAAGGTCTTTTTCTGAACCTTTGTTTTATAAAATGTTTGCTGTAAAAAAGTGCTATCTCTGCAGACCTAACTCCAAGTAACGTGAATTAATGGAATTAATTTACCGAACCTGTAAATTTTGCATGAATATACAGGCTCATGCTATGTAGCTAATCCATATTTTGTGCTGAATAACCTTTGTTCTATCATGTATCTGAAATAGAAAACTTTCTTTAAATGGTTATTTTTTCCCCTCCAAAAGCATTTTATTAAATGAAAACCTATTTAAATAAAAGAAAATAAGAAATGATTTCAATAAAAAAAGTTGTAAAAATCAATTTTTTAAATGATTTCTTTAAAAAAAATAAACATCTAATTTCCATAAGGAGATATGCGATCATGCACAACTTGTAGTCACTGGAATCCTTTGAGTGAATGAGCAGTTTAACCCCTTAAGGACACATGGCATGTCATGATTCCCTTTTATTCCAGAAGTTTGGTCCTTAAGGGGTTAAATATAGAGTTGGCATGGTTTATAAGTATAAAATACTTTTTTCAAGGCTGCAGCTTTGACTATAAAATATAATTCATTAAATAATTTGGTTGTTACAGCACATGCATATCTATATTCAGTGGCCACTTTCTAAGTTAGGCCGTCTGATCGTAAGTTTTTTTTTTGTTTTTATTAAAGTGGTTATGTTCCTTTTAAATTGCTATGTAAATGTTCAAATATGTTAAGTGATTAAACCTGCTTTTCAGGTTCTGCCCCATTGGTTAATTTTTGTTGATAAAAAAAACATGTGTTTTATTCTTAAAGTTGGAGTCACATTTTTGGTGGTGCTGGTAGTGGCAGAACCAATTTGGCTCATCAGAAGAAATGCCATTGAAACATTTACTTAATTGAGGAAATCAGTGGATGTAAGAACAAAATATCACTATCTTCACAATACTCCTTTGTTGCTGCTACCAAAAGCTATTTCAATAGTAGAAGGGCCCATGCACCATGATTTATATCATGTTTCAGGGAGGCAAAAACAAATTATCATGGCTTGGTAAAAGCATTGTCTGTTGGTGTTGCGGGAAAAAAAGTGTTCAATGAACCCACCATTTGAGTGCCTGGTCTTCCTTGAAAATTATAAAATAAATTATTATTAAAGGGACACTATAGTCACCTGAACAACTTTAGCTTAATGAAGCAGTTTTGGTGTATAGAACATGCTCCTGCAGCCTCACTGCTCAATCCTCTGCCATTTAGGAGGTAAATCCCTTTGATTATGAACCCTAGTCACACCTCCCTGCATGTGACTTGCACAGCCTTCCATAAACACTTCCTGTAAAGAGAGCCCTATTTAGGCTTTCTTTATTGCAAGTTCTGTTTAATTAAGATTTTCTTATCCCCTGCTATGTTAATAGCTTGCTAGACCCTGCAAGAGCCTCCTGTATGTGATTAAAGTTCAATTTAGAGATTGAGATACAATTATTTAAGGTAAATTACATCTGTTTGAAAGTGAAACCAGTTTTTTTATTCATGCAGGCTCTGTCAATCATAGCCAGGGGAGGTGTGGCTAGGGCTGCATAAACAGAAACAAAGTGATTTAACTCCTAAATGACAGTGAATTGAGCAGTGAAATTGCAGGGGAATGATCTATACCAGTGGTAGTCAACCTTTTTCTACCTACCGCCCACTAATGCATCTTTCTTGATGGAAAAATTTCCTTACTGCCCACCAGTTTTCGCGCAAGCGCGGAATATTTTTTAGAAAGGAGGGTGTTTTAAAAAAAATAAACATACGTACATTTATCTTTTTATTTCTACTTTATGCATGTTTATAATATTTTTAACTTTATAAAGTTTAATTAGAAATTAGATCCTTGAGGCTGATGCTGCGAGACTAAATATTTGATATCTGGTTCGATTTTCGTAAGGAATAAACGAAGGTCTCCTCTTTCGGTGATATTCAGATGGTTTCTCTGTTTTCTCATAATATGATTAACAGCACTAAAGCCTGATTCTACAAGATATGTGGTAGTGAAAGGTATCAATAAATTGAACAGCATTTTCCACATATTTGGATATAACGCAGGCATTTTTTTTTTTTATTTTGCCAGAGTTTTTGGTATCCACCACTGCCAAAATTACAAAAGTAATTACTACTTTTACTCTTATGTTTTGATCTGCACCCCACACAGTCCTTTTTTCCCTTTTATTACTAACACCAAAAACAATGCTGTATTAGGTGCCAATTTTTATTAATGTCACCATCAAAAGAAATTCCTTTTCCTGCCTGCTTCTTTACCTTCCTTATAGTATATCACTATATTAAGGATCTATTTTTCCTTTTTTTTATTTTCTCCTTCCCTTACTTATTTTTTTCTTTTATTTTATAAGATAACAAAACTTAATTTATGAGCCAGACTAAACACTGCTTACTCTCCTCCTTTATTTTATCCCCTTTTCTCTATTTTTCTTCCTTTTTTTATCTTTTCCTTTTTATCTCCTTTCTTTTACCTTCCTGAGCGACAAAAGTAAGGCTGAGCTAGTTAGCCCACTTATTATTATTATTATTATTAGCCTGCTTCTGCCTGTCCCTGCTATCAGTTTCCAATCCTCCCCTAAACAATTCTCTTTCTCCTGCCTATAACTTTTCTTTTTCAACTCCTCTGCTCCGTTTCAGCCTGCTTCTGCCTGTCCCTGCTATCAGTTTCCACTCCTCCCCTTCCTCTTCCCACGTGTTTGCGTGCGCTCGCTCCCGCCCGGAAACTTCTCGCACAAAAGGAGGTTGATTGATATATATGTGCGCTCGCGCCCGCCTGCGCCACCCGCCCACTCGCTCACGTTGGTTTCTTGATGTGTGCGCTCGCTCGCTCAAAAGGAGGTTTTAACCTCCAAAGTCCCTACCGCCCACCTGGAATCCCAAAACGCCCACTAGTGGGCGGTAGGGACCAGGTTGACGACCCATGATCTATACACTAAAACTGCTTTATTTAGCTAAAGTAATTTAAATGACTATAGTGTTCCTTTAAAATAAATTATAAAATAAATACATATCATAGCTAGCATTTAAATGGGTACTTTAATAAGCATAAAAACTACAGTGCTCTGTATATTGGTTGTGTTGCCTAGAGCAGGGATTAACATTTGAAGTCCTATGCTACTAGCCAGGCCTTAAAAGTTCTTCTCCACGGTAAGACATAGTATGCTCACAAGAGGTAAATTGCTAATGGCGAGTGGAAATTAGAGTTTCCTGGCCTTGGCCCCAATTTAATGTCAAACCTATCAGCAACATTTTGACATAAACTGGTGCTCTTCGTGATGCCTAGAGACTGCCCTCTCCACAGCCGTATTTTAAATGCGGAATTATCAGAGTGAGTTTTGTCCACACTGGACAGCACTAGTTGGATTACAGTGAAGATTAGAAAGTTCTCTGGTTTTGTCTCCTGGTTCAGTTTCAAACCATTAAGGAGCAGCTTGCCATGAACCAAGGCTCTTCCTGCAGACTTTCTCCGCCTTGACCCTTCTGCATTACCTATATCAATTTCAACCCATCTACAAGGCATTGTCTGCATTAGGGTGCTAGGCTAACATGCCTCCAGCACTCAAAGATAATTAATGCCATCCAGGTTGGATGAACTCAACATTGATAATGCAGAAGAATTAATTATACATTATCATTGTGTCCAAGTAGTAGGAGGTCTCCGAGCTTCGTTAAAAGCCGTTTTGTTTGTTAAACCAGTTTTGGTGACACAACACTGTGGGCACATTTAAATTTCTTAGTGTGTCCATTTCAATATTACAAGAAGTAACATTTCAAACCAATATAATATTTTACAGAGCAGATGCAGATTACCGGTCGCCTTTCGGGCTGATTGCTGATAACCGGTGCCAGTATTCTTTACATTTAAAGTTTTGAAAATGCAACACAATTTCTACACAAATCTGGCATTAACTGACCATGCGGACAGCAATCACACTCTCAGGCAGCCAGTACATGCTGGGTTCAGTGAGATTTTAGCAAGTATACTGCTCTAACTGAAAGGAGTGCAATAGCTGACAGCAATCATTCTCCTATCACTCAATCAGCCAGCCCAGTACTTTACAGTAGATTATTTATTGTCTCGCCTCCCTGCCTTCAATTAAGTTCCGCATGTGGGAATTCATAGGGAGTGTAGATACGAGGTAGCAATGTAAGGCTTCATTGGCTGGTGGCTGGAGTTTACGGATAGGGAAGACTACGTGCGCTGACTGGAAGAGATGAGTAAGTTACTGTAATATTGGTAAATGACAAGGCTCACACCGGTTATCAAAAATATGCCAAGTATTGGCTCTAATAATCGGTGAAACGGATAATCGGCCTGAAATTTGTTTACTAGAATGTCCTACTTTACACAAATGTCAGTGGCAGTTTTACTTGTGACAGTTACACACACTGTTATTTACAGACAAGAAACTGGTGAAATTATCTCTTCCAAGAAATTGTGACAGAAAAAAACACATAACCATTACTTATCATGACAGAATGAACAACGTGAAGGGAAAAAAAATACAAGTGCGTATTACAATATATACATTGTGTTTGTTTGATGGTTGTGAAATGAATAATTCCCATTTGAGAGAGTTGTTTATAGAGAATTATCAGCAATTGACAAGAAAATTTAAATTGTTAGGCTAAGGATGTTGAAATGTAAAACCTTACCTAAAACTCTGCCTATGTTTCCAGCTCAGGTTTGTTGGCATATAATTTGACATTTTCTGGACAATGCACAGTTTATTTAATAATCTAGACAGGGTCTCGGGGTTTCCAAGCAGGTTTCTAAAATGAAGAAACAGTGATTCTACCCAGAGATTTTTGTATACCGATGACTTAAAGAAACAATCTAAGAACTAAAACCATTACAATTTAAGTGTTTTTTTGTGTGTAGTTGTTTTCCCTTTTGTACACAGCTGTCGATTTGCTCCCTGTTTGGCGAGTGCCATCTTTATTCCTTTTTGATATCACAGAAGAGACTGTGATAGATTTTATTTCATGTATTGAAACCTAAAAACAACAAGGAACACTCTAACATATTTAAAAATAAATATATTTCTTTTTAAAGTTTGTGTTGCTTTAAGTGCTCATACTGCAAAAAGTGTATTGTAATTTCTTGATTTTTTTTGTGTTTTAGTTTTGTGAAATGTGTTTGCTATTCTTGTCATGTGTACAGTAAATAGTACTGTATGTGTTAGCAGAACATGTGAGTTATTTTTTATTTAATCTTTAGAGACTGACGTGTGCTTGTTTGTTTTTCTTCTTCATCCTTTTGCTTGGTTTGCTCTGTAATGATGCATGAATTTATATCATACATTATAGCAATTAGAGGCACAAGGGAGCTGAACTGATCAATATTCTACTTTCTGTATTCTAGGAGTCCAGAAACTGCCACATTACTTGCAGGCCGCGTAACTGCAGCCTGTATGTGGAAAGGGATCATGGTAAAAATGAAATTAGAGTTTCCCAACAACACCTTCGAGCAAGCTTGCCAGGGCTGAATTTCCATTAAATTATGTTGGTATGGTGCCAGCAGGCCCCTGGGCAAACTTTTACCTTAAGGGTTTAAACTCTTTTCTAATGGTTTACCCCCACAGTGTGCGGTGATCTGCAGTTCCCCCAGGTGGCATCCAGCTTTTGAATCTCGGTTTAAGGAACGCGCAGAATGCCGCCGGGAAAGTGTCCTGCTGATTGGCTTAGAGCGTCAGCAACACTTACTTTGGTAAGTGTGGGACCACTAATTCTGGCCCTAGTTGGCTTAGGAGAGAACCAGGTATCGAGTTATAAATAGGTTTCCGTGGTTCCAGCAACAATCTGGCCCTGCTGGTACTTAAAAGGCACAGTGTTCTATGCCATCCTTGGGTATAAAAAGCTTGAAATACATAATGGCATAGAACATCATGCGTTTTTAAACGGTTTAACTACTTGCAGAGAAGTCCAAACACATAAGGCACTTCCACTTCCCGAATTGCTTTATGTGTGAAGAGTGTGTACATTTATTATTAATTTTAGAAAAATGACAATTTTAATATAACTCTGCACCTTCATAAATGAACCTTGTTGCACCTCCCAAGCTGTCAAGCAGACAGCTGGTCCTGTCCCTTTCCTGAGTTTATCTCTGAATTCACTAAATTCAAATGGCAGGCAATTATCCATAGCACCTGCCTTGCAAAGGCTTTTCAATGAGCTGTAATACAGAAAGTCTGTGCCAGGGAAGACGTGAAAAGCTTTAAATAGCTGCAGATTCTAGATCTGCAGTTACTTCAATCCAAGGCTTCATGTACACCCATCGAAAACCTGCAGAACAAATTATATGCATATTATCTTTGAAGGGTTTTAATGTATTTATCTAGTGTTCCATTCTTCCTTTACTTGAAATGCAACATTTTCAGGGAATTTGTTTTTCATATTAAAGTATTTTATTTCATCCACCTCCTGAACACATGCATCTACACAATTAACAATCACCAAACAAATTATTAATAATAAAGATCCAACACGGAGAGGTACAGGTTTTTAAAAGCAGCCTCAGTTTTTGGAATGCTGTTATACAGGAAGAACAAATAACTGTAGAAATTAGGGAAAATACATTTTAGCTGATTCGCATACTTACCTGAGGCTTCAATCCTATGGAAGGTGTACTGTAAGTGAAGTAGAAAGCTGATCATGACAGAGTTCAAACTGGAGCACATGTGTATAACTGATCAGTATATGAACTATTTCATAACTAGAAAGGTGATTATTGAATTGCAAGTCCCACAAACCCCTGTCAGTCCCTCCCCATACAGAATAGGCAGACAGGCAGGCACTTTGGCAGATTTATAGGTGAGTGCTATCTCTGCACGTTAACCCTTGAAGTGCTGGGTTAAACATGTTCAGACTCCATAGGCCAGTATGAAGTTTATTTGTCCTGAAGCTGTTTTCAGAAACACTGAATATTTGTATCCATGGTGTGTATCCCTGTATCCATGATGAGTCTGTTGAGAACAGATGGTATAGTGGGATGGTGACTTGGAAAATGTTTCTGTTATTTATGAAGTGGTAATGCTGCTGATTCTTGTTACATTTGCTTGCTGTTTTGTCACAAACCATCCATCAGTAAGTGCCTAACTAGTCTGACCAGGTTTTGATGAGTGTAGCATGGTTAAAGGACCACTATAGTCACCCAGACCACTTCAGCTCAATGAAGTGGTCTGGGTGCCAGGTCCCCCAGGTTTTAACCATTAAGATGTAAACATAGCAGTTTCAGAGAAGCTGCTATGTTTGCATTGCAGGATTAATCCAGCCTCTATTGGCTGTCTTCTTGAACCTAGAGGCGCCTCTGCGACGCTGAATGCGAAAATCGCATTCAGCGCGCAGAACGCATTGAGAAATGGGCGTTTTTAATGCGCGCGCAGCTCTGGCCGCGCATGTGCACTCCACTCGGGAGCTGACGTCAGAGTGCAAGGAGAGGTCACCAGCACCAAGCGAGCCCGGCGCTGGATTAACGTAAGTAGCTGAAGGGGTTTAACCCCTTCAGCCCAGCGGGAGGGGGACCCTGAGGGTGGGGGCTCCCTTAGGGCACTATAGTGTCAGGAAAACGGTTTTGTGATCCTTTCATTTAATTTAATTTAGGACCATATGCAGTCTTAGACACAGAATTAAGGATTGCAGGCTTACCCTCTTAGACTGGAGTCAGTCCCTGCCCAATCTGTGTTAGTAAGGTGAAAACACACATTGGCAAGCCAGCATGCCTCTCCATCCATTTGGCCTTCTAACTAGTGCAATAATTGATCAGTGTGAGACTGTACATATCTGTTTCTACTCATGCTTTGGGGGCCACAATCTACTATTGTTGACCTTTGTAGGTGTGTGTGTGTGTGTATGTGTATATATATATATATATATATATATATATATATATATATATATATATATATATATATATATATATATATATACACACACACCCCCCCCCCCACCCCACACACACCACCACCACCCCAACATGGAGAGCACATTGTGAGACAGCAGGGTTTAGCTCTTAATATCAAAACATATACATTAATGTACCTCCCACAATTTGGTAGGGGAGAATCAGGGAGGGAGAGGCAATCCCATAGCCAGTGACTCAACCCGCAATCCCCTGCATGGCTCTAGTGCCCACTGCACAGCGCAAACTTATGTAATCATGCATATAACAAATGGGAAATACAACACTTTTGTGCAAATAGACAGCAGCAACTTTTGCAAGGAATCCCCCTTTATCCCAGACACAGACTTTCAGTCTCTGCCAAGGAGCTGACCAGTCACAAGTTTCTCATTAAAATCGGCACTTTTATAAACGATCAAAAACTTAGAAGCTGAATTGCTTTGTGTGTCTGGAGTGTTGACACTGTGCATTTGTGTCTTCCTTACGTGTTCAAGGGGTTAGAAAAGAATGTTGTTGGTGGAGTTTATTACAATGAATGACAACTGTGCTCTACATACCCCATGCTACTCCACCTCCAGTGACTGACTTTCATCTGGATATTTTGTCATTTCATTGTCCTAACATGCTTTCACTTTATTTACTTTCAACCAAATTGAACCTGCATTGAGACTGATAGGTCCCGCTTGTTTTCAAATTGATTTCTATGCTGCCGTGACAATTTATTTCAAAATACTTTTTTTTCTTTTTAATTTGTAATTTTTATTAATTTTGTTCAATGTGAAAAAAAGAAATTAGGGGTACAGTAGGGGAAAAAGGAGGGGGATTAATGGGTTACAACTTTTCCATCAGTATATTCTTGACCGTATATAAGTAAGGTGTGATCATCATACAGTAACAACAGCTTCACTCATCTCTGTACATATGCACATCATATTTCAGAATCCGTCTACCTGAATCCTTTATGGAGACAGACCCCAAAGCGCATGCTTAGGCAAACATAGTAATATGCATGATATCGCTCGTAGGCTAGGAGCCCAAATGGAGCATAGTACCATGGATCGTCAGTGTAAACAGTGAGTGTAAGAAACAATTAGTGTAGGATCACTGTGATAATGACAAGCATCCAGTATGGACGGGTGACTCCGATGGACACATTGCATGCCCCAAGGAAGATAGAGGGAAAAATAAAGCTTGGGACAAGAAATCACAAAAATACACCGTGATTGGGGTTGGAGAGTATGTTAAGCTGAATGATGTCCACAGTTGCCAAGCAGTGTTGCCAACGGAGCACGTGGATAGTTAACAGTACTAGCCTGGTGATAATAGTCTAGAAAAGTACAGGGATATCGAAACATAGAGTGCTCCAAGGAAACCAGGTAGAAAGGGCCGAAGATCAACATGCAGCGATATTGGCTGCACCCCGTCATATGCCCTTCAGGCATCATTAAACATTGTGTTTTCCTGTTAGAGGTGAGCGCCATTCGCTCGTGTGCGTGAAATTGTTTTATATTTGAAAATACTATTTGAAAATATATCTGAATTGCAACTGAACAGCAGCCAACTTTCCCTAATATAAGAATAGAAAACCTGTTCAATAGAATCTATAGCATATCTGCCGACATTTCAAATGGGCAAAGAGGAACGCTGTAATTTTAGGGGTGTGTTCGGGGGGGCACAATACTTGAAGTGTTATTGCTGTGGAGCTTTGTTATACACTTGGACACGCCAACAATGTCGAACTCCTTAAAAAGAAGGACATTAGGATAAGAAAGAGGGACACAGGTAACAGGTAACTAATCGGCAGCTACATGTGGTGGATTTATGGTAGTTTTCCATGTGGCTTTCGTTGAGGGCAGAGATGAAATTCCAATTGGCTGAGAACATCAGCTGATCGGTCGCAGCCAATGAGCTAGGCCCTGCATTGCAGGGCTTAAGGACCAAAGTCATAAAATTTTCAGTTTTAATTTTTTTTAAAGTTTGTCACAGTTAATGATACTTTTTATGATATATATATATATATATTGATTTTATTTGTTTTGGAACATTTCACTTTTATTTTGTTTTTACCTAGCTGAGCAGCCATGTTGGGTTCGACGTTACTGTTGTTTGACCAACTGCTGCTCACCCTAACTTGCCTGCTTGTGCTGTGATTGCTCAGTGTGAAACGGCATCAGCAGCAGGCTAGTGAGTGTGAGCAGCTGTTGGTCAGATAACGGTAGAGTCTAACCCAACGTGTCTGTTAGATCAATAATGCAGGGCTTGGCTGATCGGCTGAGAGTGATTAGCAATATATCCCACCATTGACAGACAATAATACTGCTTTTGTTTGTAGCAAATCAGAGTAGCCAAAAGTTAATTTGCATTATTATACTGCAATATTTTTTCTTTACCTAGTTAAAGCCAGGCCGGAGCTGGCTATTTGGCAAATCGGGTTAAAACCTGTAAACTGGCATTGCTCCTCAGCCCAGGGCTGGTTTGGAGATAACAGATCTATCTCCTTAATGGCCTTGTGAATAAAATCAAAATGTAACCACCAGGTTATATGACCGCTTCTCTGTCTGCTGCTCGATGTAAGTGTCTTATAAAGTATTTGGCTACTTCTTGCACGGACCTCTGTTCATGCAGTGTTCACCAGATTGGATTTGGACCAGTACAGTCAGCAGCGTGGACCTCTAACTCTCTCACATTGCGACCATTCACCTTCGCATAGCTGAGGAAGGCGCCACAAGTGAAGTCAAGCGGTAGAAGGCTGAAGTTGACTGGGCACGGCCAACATGTGCCTTGTTTGATTTATGGTCTCCGGTTTAAACCAAAATAGCCAAAATGAAGTATAAGTGGCTGTAGGATATTTTGCAATGTGGTCACTTTGGCCTAAAATGTAAAATTAATTTTGAGCTTCTGACAAACCATTATTGTGAAAAAACAAAACAAAAGACTTTAGTCTTAGAGAAGATTTTGCAAAGTTCCCCATACTTAGTTGCCAAGCAGATTCCTATTACGTAATCTAATCATGTTTGTAGCTCTTGGATAAATGCCATCTTACTTTTTCCCTGTAAAAACTATTACTTTTCATTAATTGCCTCCAAGTCTTTTCAAGGTCTAATATTTGATTTACAGAAATATCATTGATCATATGATGGTTGAATAATTTTATTTTTATTGGTTTTCTTTTCCAGGTGTCTCAAGACTAAACTGTCATGGACAGTCACAGTTAGTAAGTACATTTTTTAAACCCTTTATTAACAAAATCCCATATGTCTCTCACAAGTACTGCACTCCATTTAAAATAATCTAAATTTCAATTATTATTTTTATTCATGCAAGTCTATGCTTTGCTATCATATTTTAGATTTAATTTACTGGAAGAGTTTGATATTTTTTTTAACACTTTACCAGGACCTGATTGACAGCGTTTTGATATGATCTAGGCCAGGCAAGCAGGTCATCAAATTCCCCTCTCACACAGATGCTCTATCCTACCATACCTACGCCTGTTCTGGGCCTTAAAGGACCACTATAGTGCCAGGAAAACAAACTCGTTTTCCTGCACTATAGGGTCATTAGGTCCGTCCCCCCCCCACCCTCAGAGCCCCCCTTCAGCCACTTACCTTTCTCCAGCACCGGGCTCCCTTGGCGCTAGTGTCCTCTCCTACTCCTGCCGACGTCAGAGCCAAATGCGCATGCGCGGCAAGAGCCGCTCATTCAAACCGCTCATAGAAAAGCATTACTCGATTTCCATGGACATCCAGCGTCTTCTCACTGTGATTTTCAATGAGACAGCCACTAGAGGCTGGATTAACCCTGCAATGTAAACATAGCAGTTTCTCTGAAACTGCTATGTTTTCAGCTGCAGAGTTAAAACTAGAGGGACCTGGCACCCAAACCACTTCATTGAGCTGAAGTGGTCTGGGTGCCTATAGTGGTCCTTTAAACCAAGCATGGACACCCCTCATACTGATTTAATGTTGCCACTCATTGCTGTGTAATAGAAACTCATTTCTGATGGCTCAATATCGTCTGTAGAATAATCGTATATTTCACAGACTCCATTATTTTGATTTCATCATCTGGTTTTAAACACTTGCCACAAAAATGATCTAATTTTAAAATATTGAAATCAAATGAAGTAATGCATTTAACCTGTTAAACCAGAAAATAATATTCTTCATTTAGTTACCTCATTTAAAAGCTGCTAAAAGCATTTTATTAATAATTTTTAAAATGGGGAATGGCGGGTTTGTAGCACTTGTAGTAAAACGAACAAGGCAGCTCGAACTAACCAAACCAGAGTCTCTCATTTGCGTCACAGATAAAATGTATACAAGGAGAAGGGAATTCCTCAGACACAGGATAATATGCAACAAAAAAAAGTGGAATGTGTTCACTATTCAGGGCTAATAAGTATGTAGGAGTTTAGGAAAATACTCTCTGTCTCATTAGAGATTTTTTTGCCTGAAGCTGAAGTAAGCATGGTGAATTGTTAGTGTAGGACCCACCTAAGAGGTTTGCTTTGACGTGGCAGGTGGGCTTACATCTAATGGCCATTGGAGTGTCACTAAAAACCTCCAAGTACTTAAATATGCATGGGATATGGGATAGTGCACAAGTAACTATTTTCTTTGTTTTTTGTTTTTGTTTTTTATTGTATGTATTGGGGCTGATGTGTACTATTGTCATTGCTGCCACCCATTGCTGCCACTATTGTCATTGCTTCATACTAAATGGAGTGTGTACTTAAATAGGTGTACACTCACATTTTTGGAGCCTTCCGACAGCTCCTAGTGCATAGTGTGGAGTGGTATATTCCCCACTCTTGGATATAAATGGTAGAAATCCTCACCGTGGTATGATGGGGATATAACAGAAATAAAATAGTGCTCACTGTATTAATTAAAAGGTGTAAGGTAATAGGAAATGTACTCACTGGTGCAGAGCAAAATAATGGTTTTGCTCAATCCACAGGACGTAGGTGATATATTCCCCATCAAAGAAGGTGATGTCCAAACGTCAGAGGAAACAGGCAGGTCCAGGAATAATAAAAATTCACTATTTTTATTGAAGACAACTTATAACAAGCAATAAAAGCAAGTAAAACAGACTAAAATATAACACTTATTTTATTAACAGTTGCCCGATACAATACTGTTCCCTGTTTTGATCATAGAAAATCTTTAGTTTAGTCTTGTGACCCCAAGTAGAGGACAGTAGCAAGCAGCGGCAATATCCCCAAAAATGTCAAGGTTGTGATAATATTTACACAAGCTATCTCATCAGTATGCATTTTTTTTTTTTTATAATATATAGTTTTAACATTGTGTTTATATATTTTAACTAATTTTTTATGAAAATATTAATTCTAGGCAACATAAACATTAATTTCTTGATGCTTAAAGGGAAACTATAGTGCCAGGAAAACAGAGCTACCGCCCCTAGGTCAAAACCCTTAGTCCTAAACCGATGTCTCTCGAAGCTGGCTCTGGCTCCAATGATGTCGGTGGAAACCTAATGCGCATGTACGTCACTGGCCGCGCTCACAGTAGAACTTCCCCCACAGGAAAGCATTGGGTGACGCTTGGTGTCCTCATGCATAGCGTGAAGACGTCCAGCATCAAAAGTCGCCTTACGACTCGGAAGTCCCTCTGGTAGACAACCATTAAAAGTGGAGTTAATCCATAAATGTAATTATTTATTAAAAACTGCAATAATTACCTTTGCAGGGTTAAGGTACCTAGGAATTTACACCCAGGCCACTTCAATGAGCTGAAGTGGCTTGGATGCCTATAGTGTCACTTTAAGGCCAACTGGACCATAAAAAGAAGAGATTGAAATCAAAAATGTATTTAATTAGCTGCTTTGTAGAATTTAGGAGACACACTCTTTTGTTAAAGGAACCTTTATGCCTCATGTTCCTTTCTTAATTTTGATTACAGCCCCCTCCCCTTCTGAAACCAACAAAGTCATCCATTTTGATGACTTTTGTCCAATGCAGTTCTTCTCATCTGGGGATATATGGTGCATGTGCAGCAAAAGTTTCACTGTACCAACTTAATGCTGCTCTTAGAGAAGCACTGTATTCTTTTGGCATTATTATGCTGTGATAACAAACATTGAGACCTTCAAAAAAAATCAGAGGTCTTCAGTGAGAAACCACCTTTAGTGTCTGTCAGCCTGCAGGAGGAAATTGGTGTTTCTCAGAAACTTTATTAAGATGAAATAGTATTTCCTCTTAGAGTATCTCTATAAGGATACTTGGAGGATGTAGTATAAAACCAAAGAGCGTGGTGTGTAAAATGTTTAAGGTTTTAATTATGGCCCCTTTTACCAGCCTTCAATTGTCAGACAAAAGAAAATGAGCTTTTATTTGCCAACACAGGCCATATTGGTGATGGCTAAGTGGTATGTGTTTTCTTACAGCCAGTACTCAAGGGAATTCTATGATCGGTATGCACAAAGCCAAGAAAAATCTGTGGTGAACAAGATGCAGCAGAAGTATTGGAAAACCAAGCAAACGCTCATCAAGGTTACTGGGAAGAAAGAAGATGAACATGTTGTAGCATCTGATTCAGATCTAGATGCTAAACTAGAGGTTAGGCTTTAATTCTGATGTATATTCATGTCAATTAGAGTGACAAGAGTGGCTAATCCCTTATATGTAGGACATTGTCCTTACCTGACACTTAACACTGGGATTGGGGAAACCCTAAACGCCAATGCTTTTCACCTCCTAATCCTACCAGTGCTTGTATGAATGGCACAGTAATTACTCTGCACTCCTATGAATGCAGCACGTTTACAAGAGTGTCATTTTCACAATCGGCATTTTAAACACAACATTTTGACAGACGTTTTTAAAGGATGCCAAATGTAAGTCATTGTCTCTGAGTTCCCATAATTGTGCAATATACATTTTCTCCATAAGATGGAGCACATCTTTTACACATCTAGAAGAATAATCTGAGCCTGAATTGTTTGCCTAAGGGGTTGGAATAAGACTAGGTGAGTCACTTGAATGCCTAGGTAAACATACAAAATTGAACACCCTTTGTTAATAAACTTGTAATTATTATGCTCTAGGTTCTTCTGTAAATAGAACTTTTACATGTGACTCGATAGCTAACTTAGGCCTAAATTTAATATTGATGGGTACGCTTTCTAAAAGGTTTTATAGTCTGAAAAATATTTAATATTTTTAATTTTTGGATATAGTGAGATATTTGTTTTATGTGTGATTTTTAAAAAAAAAATATATTTTAGTATGCTAAATAAATCATTTCAAACATTTATGCAAAAATATAACTTGGCAAGCTTACCAACAACATTAAATCAATGTCTAGTTAGTCTATTCTTTAAAGGAATACTATAGGCTCAGGAACACAAACATGTATTCCTGACCATATAGTGCAAAACCCACCATTTAGGTGGCTTGCCTCCCATTAGCCCCCTTAAAAGTTAATAAAACTCACCATATCTCGCTGGAGATGCTGAACGGCACTGTTGCCTTCTGTGCAGCACTGAGCCAGGAAGCACCTCCAGTGGCCATCTGAGGAGTGGCCACTTGGATGTGTCCCTAGGGGCAATATAAACATTGCCTTTTCTTTGAAAAGGCAGTGTTTGCATGAAAATGCCTGCATGTAATGATTATATTCACCAGAACAACAACATTAAGGTGTAGTTGTTCTGGTGACTATAGTGTCCCTTTAATGTACCTTAAGCTCACAGGCATGGCCATCTGCCTTTTGTATCGATCTGTTTATATTGTATTGTTCTAATTGTACAGCACTGCGGAATATGTTGGCACTTTATAACTGTCAGTAATAAATAAATACATAAACAAAACAGGCTGATATGTGTGTGTGGAATTTAATGGAGAGAGAGTAAGGCTTTGGAATGTGCATGGGAGGGAGTGATGGAATAACGAAAGGGATAAATGAAAAGGCAGAGAGAAGGGAAGAAAATGTAAAAAGAGGATATATACTTACCATATCAGTTAATATTTCCACCTCTGTTTCCATTTTGCTATCTCCTCCTTATTAGTAGAGCCCCAAAATTCTGTCTCTCCCCCATCTTGTCCAAAGTGACTCCCATGCCATAGGTTCTGCACTACTTGTACAGATAATGGGGTTTAGAAATAATTTTAAAAGCAGATCAGCCAGTGTCTGATGCAATAAAACCTTTACTACAGAAAAATCTGTACAAATTTAAAGTCCACCTGAAAAGAAAGGGCCGCTGAAATATCTGACCATATCTTTGCCTCCTTATCTTAATCTTCCTTAACAAAGCGAAAACCAAAAGCATGAACAGTACAGCTTTCCAATAACTTTCATAGAAATTTAAAAAAACTGGTTCCACTAGTTGAAAAAGGCAAATGTAAATTTCCATTTACTTACACAACCAGTTTTCATTACAGTGAGCAGGTCTATTATGCAATGCATGGGATTGTTGTATACTCTTGATAATCACCTGCCATGCAGAAGACTATGGGTAAAATATATCTGGCATGTAGGGCTGATTGGCTGAGTAATCTCTGCAAGTTCCTGCATGTAAAATAATATCACTGTGAAAGGAGCAGATATTTTATGTTTGCTTCAATGGTTTTTTTTGGCGGGGGGTGTTGTGTGTTTTATATAATTCTTTAAAAAGGGGGCAAATCCATCTTAGGGGCCGTTTTGAGCAACAATCTAATACACTTCCTGAAACATTGGCATAAGTAAATATAACTTGTGTGTAACAATATTATACATTAAAAAGCAGTGTTTTTATTTGTTTTGTTTTTCCGTAATCACTTTGCAAAAATCTAATGGACTTATGTTTGTTTGTTTGCTTTTTGTAGCTTTTTCATTCAATTCAGAGAACATGCTTGGAATTATTGAAAGTGATTGAACAGTACCAAAAAAGGATCTGCTGTAAGTTGCCAATAATCTGTTCCTCACGAAATTGTTTTTATTACTATAGTAAATGTGTTGATAAGCCATCATACCCCTTATTCTGTATATCCAGGCATCTCCACGCTGGATAATGTTTATTAGGACTATGGCCTTGTGTGTGTGTGTGATTATAGTTTTATTATCAGAACAGGAGATACAAACGTCTAAACTGTAAAGTAAACTGTGCAGTCATAACTGTTTAAAAATTAATCTTTTTTATTTTTTTATGTCCGGTCACTATGGCTGTGTAAACAGAAACAAAAGTAATTTATCTTCGAAATGGCTGATAATTGAGCAATGAAACTGCAGGGGCATGATCTATACCAAAACTACTTCATTAAGCTAAAGTTTTTTTTAGTGCCCATAGTGTCCCTCTAAATAATCCCATATACAAAAGCTAGTATATGATTATTGCATTTTGTTATATTGAATCCCTGTTGACTGTTTTTATCATTGAGTGATGTTATGTTTTTTTTCCCCCTTAGTTCTATCACAGGAAGAAAATGAGCTTGGCAAATTCCTCCGTTCGCAGGGATCTCAAGATAAATCCAGGGCTGGTAAAATTATGCAGGCTACAGGGAAGGCTCTTTGTTTTTCATCTCAACAAAGGTGTGTCATGTATAATGTACTGTGCACGATGCATCAGCGCTGTCTGCCTGCTAGAATTGCCACTTATCGCCAATCCGTTTCATAATTCATTCTAAAAGCACAATGCTCTGCATAATTTGCTATTGATGTCGTCATTCGTTGAAATGGGAGAGTACTTATTGATTCAGTGTGTTACCTTAGAAAGACCTCTGATATAAGACAAGGGTGTGCTGGGAAGAATAGCTGCTAAGCAGTTTGTTCATGAGCCATATATTTGTGCCAAAGCACACTAATGCAAGCACCATCATGGTTAATTATTATCATGCCACACTGTGTTGTTGTACAGTGATGTCGATATATAGCTCTTACAGGTCTTTGCTTATTTGAATATATGATATCTCTTCATAGAGAAAACTATTTCATCTCTTGACTATGCTAGGCCCTTCATACATTTTTGAGATGACAGTTTCGCGTTTAATCTGTTTGACAATCAGCAGCCATCAGATTCTTGCTTGCATTGGTGAATGTGAACCCTGTAACATTATTGTCACAGACAGAACTACTTGCCAAGAAGAGTGTGTGTATGAATAGGTCCACATCACCGAGCCTCTAGATGAACTAATTCAACACCTCTACCAGGTTATTTATTTACACAAATATAATCCTCAAGAACTACCTACTGTACTCCAGATTATCACGGAATTGTGATCACCAAGAGTTAATGCTGGGAATTATAGGTTGGCGCTCACTTTTATACCAACCTAACCCCAGTAACCCATTGTATGCTTACACTACAAGTACACAATTATCACTATGGCTATACAAGAAGCCAAAACTATCATCAATATTGTGTATTCTGCAGAGAAAATACAGATCTTAATATATTAAAAATGATCAAATTACTGACAGTTACAAGGAACCCATAACCAAAAACAAGTCTCTATATAATGGTATGTCTCATATATATATATATACAGTATCTTACAAAAGTGAGTACAGCCCTCATATTTCTGTAAATATTTTATTATATCTTTTCATGTGAGAACTTTTGTTGTACTGCTTTTGTTGCCAACGTTTTAGACATTAATGTCTGTGTTGAGTTAATTTGTGGGGACAGCAAATTCACACTGTTATACAGGCTGTACACATACTACTTTACATTGTAGCAGGGTGTTATATCTTCAGTGTTGTCACATGAAAAGATATAATAAGATATTTACAAAAATGTGAGGGGTGTACTCGCTTTTGTGAGATACTGTGTGTGTGTACATGAATTTTATCAGTTTTTTACATATATATATATATATATATATAATCTGTGTGTGTGTGTGTGTGTGTGTGTGTAAAAAAACAGATAAAATTTGTATCTTTAAGAAATAGAACTGGGTTGGTGTGCATGCAAGAATACAGTTTATCACATACACATGAACACATACGCCACCTTCAATGTAAAGAGAAAACACAAGGCTTTAACCTTTGAATGAATCATATTTTTCTTTACTGATATACAGTGCATTTTAACTCTTGATAGAACCAAACAATGCAGTGTGCATGACAATGATTTCTTATTCTTATTCCATAACGAGACACTGCTAATTTAGTGACTAGTGCTGAATGGAACTGAAAATACTAAGTAAAATGAACAGTTATACTGTTATGATGGCAAGGCTTGGTCATTAATGAGTTAATAATAAGGTAACCACACCACAGGTCTGATTCAGATGATGACAGAGGGGGACATGAAGAGGCTGCTTGTAGACCTGAGACTGGTCTTACAGCAGGAGGTGGAGGAAAGGGAGAAATCTAAGGACAACCAACTCCAAGAAACCAGGCACCAAGTGGAAGGACTTTCCAAACAGGTCCGTCAACTGCACGTAACTGCACAACAGGTCCGTCAACAGTACCCTCACTTGAATCCAGACACCAATACCTACGCTTGGAGACGTACTACCTCCATGGGCCTCAAGTGCAATGCCGACACCCCACTTATTGTATCCACCTTCCGAGTGTGCAAATCGGCGGCAGCACCTGTAGGTGCCCACAGAGATCCCATAGCTACCACCAGAAATGTACGGCGAGAGCTGCCATGATGGCTAGTTCTAGATCACTGGGAACTGTGAAGGGTGTACCTTGGCTAAATATAGTGACCTTCCATTTTCTTTTTTAACTGAGAAAAAGCAACTGGCTTTTTAGCCAGTAGCCAGGAGATTTAGAGAGCATTCCCTTAGATAAGGGGTCTCCAAAATCCGGCCCTCCAGATGTTGCTGAACTACAACTCCCATGATTCTTTCATTGAAATAGATCACCAGAAAATCATGGGAGTTGTAGTTCATCAGCATGTCGAGGGCCGGAGTTTGGAGACCCCTGCCTTAGATGCTGATGGAGTGCAGAAGGCTCAATTGTGGTACAGAAGAGTGCCAACATGTCACCCTACCCTATGCAGAAGATCCGGAGGCATTCCTTCAGAGATTGGACTTACCAGCTATGACTACGTTTCCGGGGACAACCCAAGTAGCCTTACGACAAGATGGAAGAAGCCACGGGGGAGATAACCGGATAGCCCAAGAAGCTCTACAAACTAACTGGGAGGAGCAATGCCTCGGCGGTCACATGGATCGCAGCTAACCCATGACAGATGTTGATATTTAAGTCGCTACCAATATACAATGTTATAATTTTATTTGTATGTTTCTTCTTAAATTTGATTTTCTACTCTTACTGAATACTAATTTTCTACAGACAGAAATGTAGGATACATATATAATGTTCAATCGAGGATATCCTAGTTTGGCAGTCAAATTGAGTATTTTTTACTTATGGATATAATGAAATGCAATTAGTGAGTTTTCATTACTCTTTCACTTTGACTTACTTTTACTGGCATCTTGTTTGCCGCTTTGTTTGCATGACTGATGTAAATCTGTCCATTTTTATAACTCAAATAATGGTAAAGTTGTATACCGTGTGTACAAACTCCAATAAAAAAAACCATGTACAATGATGAAGTATCCTTGAATTTTATGGGTTCATGATGTAAATTGCCAGTTGATATCTTCGGTAAAGTTAACAGTTCAATTTTTCTTCCCACAAAACTGAATATATTTTATTTTGGATGTTGGTCCTTCAGAAAATGTGAAATAAATACTGACAATGGGATAGAACAAGACCTTGCTTAAACCATAAAATAATATATCTGTGGAGGAAAATGAGAAAAAAAATGGCAAGAAACGATTTTTAGCTAATTTCTAGAATAACAGATTTGTTTTGGAAATGGCAAAATATGTGCACAGCCCAGTTCATCCTCTGACTTTCCTGAACTAGATTTTGAGGAAATATTAGATACTCAAGGACAGATTACTTATCACAGCAAGCAAAAATTCAATTGTAGAAATACAAAGATCCCTTTTTATAATTCTGTATGTCACACTTCAGGAATGACCAAAGACTTTCAGTGTTACCCAACCTTTCTAACCTTGCCATCCATATATTAATAAAGTCACTAAAATAAGACTCCTGAGAACAGCCATCTTGCTTTTAAAACCTGAGACAGCCATGGCATTTCTAGTGCTATAAACTTAAATAAACACTATATACAACATCACATTTCATAGTGTATACTACTGTAGTCTATTAATTATCAATATTATCAGTTTGGACATCTAAGACTGAGGATCATATACATTAATTTTTCCGCTGGAACATTAAAGGACCACTATAGTGCTCTGAGGGTGCCCCCACCGTCAGGGACCCCCTCCCGCCCGGCTCTGGAAAGGGGAAAAAGGTTTAAACTTACCTTTTTCCAGCGCTGGGCGGGGAGCTCTCCTCCTCCGATCCTCCTCTTCTCCTCCCCGTCGGCTGAATGCGCACGTGCGGCAAGAGCTGCGCGCGCATTCAGCCGGTCACATAGGAAAGCATTCATAATGCTTTCCTATGGACGCTTGCGTGCTCTCACTGTGAAAATCACAGTGAGAAGCACGCAAGCGCCTCTAGTGGCTGTCAATGAGACAGCTACTAGAGGAATAGGGGGAAGGCTTAACCCATTCATAAACATAGCAGTTTCTCAGAAACTGCTATGTTTATGAAAAAATGGGTTAACCCTAGCTGGACCTGGCACCCAGACCACTTCATTGAGCTGAAGTGGTCTGGGTGCCTAGAGTGGTCCTTTGAGTTATCAACTGCAAATTCCAGACTTTCTCCATTATTTTTAATATCGTAAATTATTATTTTGATTTGGTCAGTAGTTAATTTGTAAGAAGTTCTTTTGTAAATCAAATATCCATCCAATTTATCCTAAAAGAAAATGCGTATCTTTTTTTTAAATTAAAATTTGTAATCTCAAGAACAAACTATGTCAACAGCTGAATGTTGCTGTAAACATGTTACTAACAATTCTAGCTGAATGCACTGTAGATCTAAATTCATGTGTCATCGGGTTGCATTTTTATCAAGAGCGTCAATGGTTTTAAAGGGACACTATAGTCACCAGAACAACTACAGCTTGTTGAATTTGTTCTGGTGAGTAGAATCATTACCTTCAGGCTTTTTGCTATAAACACTGTCTTTTCAGAGAAAATTCAGTGTTTCCATTATAGCCTAGTGATAACTTCACTGGCCACTCCTCAGATGGCTGTGAGAGATCCTTCCTGGGTCATGGCTGCCTAAAATGCATCCAAACATTCATTATCTCCTCCGTCTGCATGCAGACACTGAACTTTCCCCATAGAGATTCATTGATTCAGTTCGTTATCTATGAAGAAATGCTGATTGGTCAGGGCTGTGTTTGAATCATGCAGGCTCTGCCCCTGATCTGCCTATTTGTCAATCTCAGCCAATCCTATGGGGAAGCACTGTGATTAGATCAGGCTACCACTTTTAATGATGTCAGCAGACTGCTTGTTTTTCTGAGTCATGGCTTCAGGCTTGAATACAGTAAGATTTTGCTATATTTATGGAGGCATGAGGGCCCAGGGGGGCTAGATGGTGGTGTTAACATTAAAGGGTCAGGAATACATAGTGATCCTTTAAGTAAAAGAATAAAAAAGATTTACACATTTAAAAAAAAAATAAAGTAACAAAAGAAAGCTCTTCTGCGGAATTATTGGTGTTTAACATGTGTCCATTTAAAACATTCATTTATCAGAAGCCACAAAAGTAAAAATCAAGTGTCTTTTGTAATCTAGATAGATTTAGAACTGGATGTAGCGGATGGCACTGGGCTGTCCTGCAAATGTCTTTGAAATAACTGCATTCGTGTGATCTGCTAGTTTTCTATGTGTTTTAAAAGAATTGTATTCCTCTGATTGTTCGGTAGAATCATTCGAATAAACTAAGGGAATGAAACTACCGAACAATCAGACCTCCCCTGTGTTAAGTGTGTCCTCAATCACCCGTTGCAACATTGTTGCGAACGGGTAATTGACAAGTTAAGTAGCCGTCCTTTGTTCTCGGGGGTGGCCGCCATTCGACAAACGAACACGTGGCGGCGGCTATTTTAAAACTCCCGAACAGCTGTGTTTTGCCGTCGAGTGTCTGGAACTCAAATCGGACACTCGACTAGGTGAACATCGCTGAAACCTCCATAAGCCCGGTCCGTTTGGTTCCAAACTACCGAACGGCCCCTCGTTTGGTAGATAGAAAGAACCGAACGAGGGGATTCAGGTGAACCCTCCCTAGGACCGACCGCAGGGCCCATTCGCATGGAACTGTATTCGGTCATTTTATTCCCTCCATAAATTTCCCGAACCCCTGGTCTGATCTGGGTGATTTTTGGATATGTTGTTCACCCAGATCAGGGCTATCAGGGGATGTAGGATTTAAAGGGGTACCCCTACATTTAGGGGTACATCCAGAAACGGGGGGAATTGCTAGACTGGATAAGGGGATTATGATGCTGGCTGAGGGGAGGAGATGTGTAGGAGGTTACCAGGACAGGATTGGCTACTGTACTAATGAGTGTAAATCCCTCCCTTGCATGGGAGCATGCTTTAAAAGGGCACTGTGGATTAAACCTTTCAGTTCTGCTCCTGAAACTGTGTGTCGTCCAGTTATTGGGATTGCTGTGGGGATATTGTTATTTTACCTGCTGGAAACCTTGCCTGTGGATTTATTATTTACTTGTTCCTGAGCCTCACTTGGATCATAAGCGGAGATAACCTGGGGAATATTGCATCTCCGCTACATTGGTTGGCAGCGCTGGGATCCAGACTAACAAGGGAACGAGGACTAATGGAATACGGATGGATAGTGATTATGCCAAGCTAAAAAGATCCACGCTAAAAGATCTCCTGGAAGCGAAAGGTATTGCAGCCAGCAACAAAAGGAAAGCAACCATCATTGCAGAAGTGATGGCTGAATACCAGCAGGAGGACAGGGTAATCCCTGAGCAGCAGAGTGCAGTAGATGGAGCTGAAAAAGAGGAGTTCCAGAGACAGCTGCAGTTTAGGCTGTCCTTTTATGGAGAGAATCCAACAGCGGATATTATATCCAGGACAATGACAGAGGTGCAGGAGTTTATACTGCGTCAAAGGCCACTACAGCAGCTGGAGAGGAATACTACCATCACACAGGGTAAGACAAAAATTCCTTACCAAGCATTTAAAACGTATGTAGAAGCAGAGGAGGATATAGATTCTTTTCTCCAAGACTTTGAAAGGCTGTGTGCATTGCATAGTATTAACCCAGACGAGTGGGTGCCTATTTTAGCAGGGAAGCTCAAAGGGAAGGCTGCTGAAGCCTATAGAACTGTACCTGATGGGGAAATTCGAAATTACCGCAGAGTAAAAGAGGTGATCCTGGCCCGATATGCAATTACGCCAGAGGCATATCGGCGGCGGTTTAGAGACCTAAAGAGAAATGACAAGGACTCTTATGTGGAATGGGATTGCAAGTTACATCTGGCCGCCCTGGGGTGGGTACAGTCCAATAAGGCTCGGTCCATGGAGGACTTATTACAAATGGTGTTGTTGGAGCAATTTTATGATGGGGTAACCAGCGATGTCCAGGAATGGGTGAGGGACAGAAACCCTACCTCCCTCACCGAAGCTGCCAGGAAGGCAGATGAGTACCCGGATGCACGCAGGCAGCAGAAACCTGCAGCCCCAAAAGTCACTTTTAAAACCTTTGGGGGAACCAGCTACACCCCAGCTCCACCGAGACCCCTGCCGCCACCACCACCACCGCCCGCTGCACAGCCACGTTTCCGCCAGCCCACGTCTGGCCCCTGCCACCACTGCCAGAAATGGGGACATTATGAAAGGGAATGCCCCCAGCTGAGGAACTGTTCCACCTGGATCCAGCCCGGTCCACCACCACCACCGAGAGCAGCCGCAGCCCACCACTACCAGGATATCGTGGCCACACCATATGGCTCAGCGGTTCCCATTACAACTGTGGAACAGTGGGAAGTACTGCACGAGGCGGATCCAGTCCAGGCCAATGCTGACAACCGCAGCATCACAGGCAGACCGTATATCTGGAGGGTAAAGCGGTTCAGGGGCTACGGGACTCAGGGGCTACCATCACCCTGGTAAAGAGTCACCTGGTCTCAGAGCAGGCTAAACTAAACAAGACTGTGGCCGTCAGGGTAGCCGAGGGAGCAGTATACCGGCTACCTACAGCGAGGGTACACTTGCATTGGGGAGCGGGGGCAGGACATGTGGAGGTGGGGTTGATGCCGCAGTTACCGGCGGAGGTTTTATTGGGGAACGATCTGGGGAGGCTCACATCTGCTTTTGAGCCCCAGACACCCACCACAGGAGAAGCTCACCCTGTGGTTACTCGACAACAGGCCCGCACCCAGGACTACAACACACTTCCGGAGGTTCAGGTAAGAGACCCTTCCCCTTCCCTTGACTGTGTTCCCTGGGTCCCTCCTAACGAATTTGCAGCTGAGATAGTGACTGACTCCACCTTGCAGGTCTATAGGGACAAGGTGACAGCAGACCCTCCTGAGGGAGAGAGATTTGTCTGGGACAAGCAGCTTTTGTACAGGGAGACAGACAAGCAGATTGCTGGGTCAGACCCAATAGTGATGAGGCAGCTAGTGGTGCCGCAGCGGTACCGAGCAGAGCTACTCCGGATAGCGCACGATATCCCGCTATCCGGACATCTAGGGGTCAGTCGCACTAGGTACCGACTGACCCAAAGTTTCTTCTGGCCAGGGATCAGCCAGGAGGTACGCAGGTATTGCACCACCTGCGATACCTGCCAAAGGGTAGGGAAAAGGGGAGACCGGAGGAAGGCGAAACTACACCCCCTTCCCATAATTGAGGAACCTTTTAGCCGAATAGCGGTAGACTTGATAGGCCCCCTCAAGAAAGCTAGCCCGTCAGGCAAAAGGTACATTTTAACGGTAGTAGACTATGCTACTAGATACCCAGAGGCAGTGGCTCTGACCAACATTCACGCTGAAACGGTCGCGGATGCCCTCATGCAGATATTCTCCCGGTTGGGATTACCCAGGGAGATTATCTCGGATCAGGGTACCCAATTTACCGCAGAATTCACCCAACACCTCTGGAGGATCTGTGGCATTAAGCCTATTATCAGTGCCCCTTACCACCCCCAGACTAATGGGCTCTGCGAACGGTTCAATGGTACATTGAAATAAATGCTCCGAACCTTCGCAGAGACCCACAAGGACTGGGAGCGGTTCCTGCCGCATCTCCTATTCGCTTACCGGGAGGTGCCACAGGAATCCACGGGGTTTTCCCCGTTTGAACTGCTATTTGGGAGGAGAGTCAGAGGCCCATTAGACCTTATAAGGGAGCATTGGGAGGGAGATCGGAGCGCAGATGGCACTCCCATCATACCATATGTGTTGGCCCTCCGAGACCGCCTGGAAGCATTAACTAGGACGGTAAGGGAAAACCTTCAGGCGGCACAGACCCGCCAGCGCACATGGTATGATCGGGGAGCCAGGGACCGTAGCTTTCAGGTCGGGCAGAAAGTGCTAATTTTAAAGCCTGTCCGACATGACAAGCTACAGGCCGCCTGGCAGGGACCTTATAGGGTGGTGGAACAGAGATGTGACACCACCTATATAATTGGCCCCTGCACAGGAACGGGAGGACGACGCATGCTCCATGTGAACATGATGAAGCCCTACCAAGAGCGCTCCGAGGAGGTAACCGCCATATGTGCGCCCAATTCTGACGAGTTTGGCAGCTTACCACTCCCAGATCTGCTGGAGATGGGCAGCTGTCTGGGGATTTAGGGGAAGTTGCACTGGGAGACCGGCTGAGCCCGCAGGAGCGTATCGAGGTACAGCGGCTGTTGGAAGAGAAACGAGACACGTTCTCTAATGTACCTGGGTACACCCCTCTGGCCACTCACCGGGTGGAGACCCCAGGGCAACTACCCATGCGCCAGACCCCCTACCGCATCCCGGAAGCGGTAAGGGAAAACATGCGCAAGGAGATCGATGAGATGCTCCAACTGGGGGTGATTGAGCCCTCAGATAGTCCCTGGGCTTCTCCGGTAGTGCTCGTACCGAAGCGGGACGGTACGACCGCTTCTGCGTGGACTACCGGAGATTAAACGAGAAAACCGTGTCCGATGCATATCCTATGCCACGGATAGATGAGCTACTGGACAGAATGGCCAGGGGTCAATATCTCACTACCATTGACTTATGTAAGGGGTATTGGCAAATCCCCCTGGCCCCAGAGGCCATCCCGAAGTCGGCCTTTGTCACCCCATTTGGGTTGTACCAGTTTAAGGTCATGCCATTTGGGATGAAAAACGCCCCAGCTACTTTCCAGAGGATGGTAGACCGACTCCTGGATGGGTTCCAAGACTACACCTGTGCCTACCTGGACGATATTGCCATTTTTAGCAATACGTGGCAGGAGCACTTGGCCCATATAGGAGCGGTTCTAGACAGGATTAAGGAAGCTGGTTTGACATTGAAACCGGCCAAGTGCAGCATAGGGATGGCCGAGGTGCAGTACCTCGGACATAGAGTGGGGTGCGGCAAACAGAAGCCCGAACCAGCCAAAGTAGAAGCCGTGGCCCAGTGGCCCACCCCTAGGACTAAAACCCAGGTGTTAGCCTTTCTAGGGACCGCTGGGTATTACAGAAAGTTTGTCCCTAACTATAGCGCCCTCGCCAAGCCCCTCACTGACCTTACCCGGAAGAATTTGCCCCGCCAGGTGACCTGGACCCCGGAGTGTGAGCAGGCATTCCAACATCTGAAAAATGCACTGATAAATGCTCCTGTCTTGGCAGCTCCCAATCCAACTAAACGTTTTCTTGTTCACACAGACGCTTCTATGTTTGGATTGGGAGCAGTACTGAGCCAAGTCGGGGCCGATGGCGGAGAACACCCCGTGGCTTACATCAGTCGCAAGCTGTTACCCCGAGAAGTAAGCTACGCCGCCATCGAGAAGGAATGCCTGGCTGTGGTGTGGGCCTTAAAGAAACTGCAGCCGTATCTATATGGACAGCCCTTTTCCTTACTCACGGATCACAACCCGCTGGTATGGCTAAACCGGGTGGCTGGGGACAATGCCAGGCTGCTGCGCTGGAGTTTGGCGCTGCAGCCTTTTGACTTTAATATTCAGTACCGCCCGGGTAAACAGAATGGGAATGCCGACGGGTTGTCGAGACAAACTGACCTAGAAAAATGATCCGTGAGTCCCCGGACATCCCCAAGCCGATCCGTGTTGGATCAGACTGTGTATGCCGGCTTGTGGGCAAGGGGGAGCAGTGTAGCGGATGGCACTGGGCTGTCCTGCAAATGTCTTTGAAATAACTGCATTCGTGTGATCTGCTAGTTTTCTATGTGTTTTAAAAGAATTGTATTCCTCTGATTGTTCGGTAGAATCATTCGAATAAACTAAGGGAATGAAACTACCGAACAATCAGACCTCCCCTGTGTTAAGTGTGTCCTCAATCACCCGTTGCAACATTGTTGCGAACGGGTAATTGACAAGTTAAGTAGCCGTCCTTTGTTCTCGGGGGTGGCCGCCATTCGACAAACGAACACGTGGCGGCGGCCATTTTAAAACTCCCGAACAGCGGTGTTTTGCCGTCGAGTGTCTGGAACTCAAATCGGACACTCGACTAGGTGAACACCGCTGAAACCTCCACAAGCCCGGTCCGTTCGGTTCCAAACTACCGAACGTCCCCTGGTTCGGTAGATAGAAAGAACCGAACGAGGGGATTCAGGCGAACCCTCCCTAGCCTCTATAGCTAGAGGCTTTCGTGCAGTTTGTTCCCTTATTCCAGGACCGACTGCAGGGCCCATTCGCATGGAACTGTATTCGGCTATTTCAGTCAGTGCGGTCGGTCATTTTATTCCCTCCATAAATTTCCCGAACCCCTGGTCTGATCTGGGTGATTTTTGGATATGTTGTTCACCCAGATCAGGGCTATCAGGGGATGTAGGATTTAAAGGGGTACCCCTATGTTTAGGGGTACATCCAGAAACGGGGGGAATTGCTAGACTGGATAAGGGGATTATGATGCTGGCTGAGGGGAGGAGATGTGTGGGAGGTTACCAGGACAGGATTGGCTACTGTACTAATGAGTGTAAATCCCTCCCTTGCATGGGAGCATGCTTTAAAAGGACACTGTGGATTAAAGCTTTCAGTTCTGCTCCTGAAACTGTGTGTCGTCCAGTTATTGGGATTGCTGTGGGGATATTGTTGTTATTTTACCTGCTGGAAACCTTGCCTGTGGATTTATTATTTACTTGTTCCTGAGCCTCACTTGGATCATAAGCGGAGATAACCTGGGGAATATTGCATCTCCGCTACACTGGACAACCCCAGAACTGCAGTTATTTTCTATTGATATAGGTGCCAAAATCTTCACCTGCAGTGACCATTATTGCTTTGTGTTTTGAGTATATGTTTCCCGTTGCCATGTAATATCAATTGTTTTTTTAAACTGTTTCAGATTGGCTTTAAGAAGTCCTTTATCTAGACTACATCAAGAGGTGGAGACCTTTCGATATAGGGCTATATCTGACACTCTATTGACTGTGAATCGAATGGAGCAGGCAAGAACTGAATATCGAGGTGTTTTACTCTGGATGAAAGATGTCTCTCAGGAATTGGACCCTGATCTTTTTAAGCAAATGGAAAAATTTAGAAAGGTAAGAATTATTTTTTAATTAATTTTAATTTTTTTATACGTGTTGGGTTTTTTTAAAATAATGATGTCCTCACAATGGTTCTTTTCCCATAATTTCCAAAGGACCATAATGGTATCTCAAGTTTTTCATTTCTCTTGGATAGAGAATTGCCCACAATTTTGTTTGTATGTTTTTTTTGTTTTTTACATTCTTTATTTTGATGTGCACATTTTGATATTGTAGCATATAATGTTGTGTGACCTTTTGAGAGTTCGGGACACTTTTATAGTGTAATAAAGTGGTCAGGCTAGGCAAACATGTCTATGCTCAGGAGTTAAACTAAATCTTTAAGCAAGTTTTGTAATTTATATATGGTGGACTAGTCATGTAAATTGAGATGTTTACCTGTATATAGGAGAGATTAACCCTTTTACCTATACTTCTATGTTGTGTCAATAAACTACCCTTTGTTCTATTTTGCTTTAAAATTGAGTGCGGTATCATTTTGGTATCTTCTATAATTATATGGTGGGTCTTTAGAGGTGACCCAGATACCTGCACCAAAGGTGTGATTGAGTGCAAGTACCACTGGATGTTTTGATTAAGTCTTTAAGCAAGCTAACTATACAAGACATGTAGACTGTTATAACCTGCAAGGCTACCTTACAAAGATTATTCCGCCGGATCTAAGCAAACCTCAGTGTTGCTGCGTCAGTTTGTAGAATTAATAAAGAAAGTAATGATTCGTATAACTGTGAGTGTAGGTAAGATGGCGTCTGCCATTGTCAAAAGTAAATAAGACTCAAGTTGTGGCCTACTATGATACTATAAAATATGCGTATAGTTGGTAGCATAAATAGGAACATCATGGCTTAATAAACGTTATGACTAAATATACTGAAATCAATTATGAACATCAGATTAAGGCGTTCAACTAAAATGTTATCTGACAATGATAATAAAGTAAGATAATAAAGCAATCGCTCCTGCATTGGAATCTATAGTAAAATAATAAACAAACAGGATATCGCGATATCACTATATTGTCATCATTGTGAACATGCTTAGCACTACACCTGTAAAGTTCGCTTACATTTTACATTCAACTAGTTCCTTGTTGCTGCAGACTTAAAAGTGCAAACTTTACAGGATTGGATTTTAATTTTATATTTAACGTTTAAAAAAATGACACTTGCTTATTGGAGAATAGCTCGCATCATTGGGATCTAGGCAGATATCTAGCTACGGTTTAGCAGTAACAACTGTCGAGATATCAGGTGCTTGGTGTCAGGTAGTCAAGCCGTCCCTGTATAGGTGTTCTCCCAACTCCCTGGCTGGGCATTGCTTGCAGGTAGCAGCTAAGTCCAACAGAGGGGGCCGTTTTGCAGTATCCGGGTGAGGCATCCCCCTGCCCCCGGACCATTTCGGAGCCAGCATCACACATCTACAGATCTGAGGATTCTCCACGCTCCAATGGGCGGCTGCATAGAGCTCTATTTTGGCTCTCTTGATGGTGTCAGACTGACCTCTGCTTGCTTAGGTGATGTGTCAGTGTTTGGAAGGTTTTTGTCGGTGGGTTTAACATATCTTTATTTGCTTTGTTTACAAAATGGTGGTGATTGTACCTTGCAAGAAGCTATTAAGTTGTCCTTAAGTTATGTCCTTACTCTGAGCCATGTTCAGTAAAAGCTGTGATTATGTGTTAAGCATCTAACTGCTTTATTTGACTGATCTGCTGGTTTGATGCTCAGCTTTACTTTTCCTTAAAGTTTTTATACATTAAGCCGTGGACCAAGGCTTTATTAATAACTTGCTCTGCCATCCTGATACTAAACTTCTACAACATGATCGTAGATATCCCTAGCAATATTGTATACTCTCTTAATATTCTTCTGTGTAGCTGGCCCCATTCCAGTAAAGCTTGGTAGGTTGCTGTATCTTCTGGGGATATGTTTGTAATCTGAGTGTAGGTCATAGGTCTAAATCCTTTCAGTCTGCAGAAGTTGATGAAATTAGTACAAAATATGTTGCTTAAGAGCAGAGGTGTCAAACTGTGCTCTTTAGATTTTATTGGGCTACAGCTTTGTAATTCTCTTGCAGCTACAGGCTAGTAGAATCACGGGAGTTTTAATCCAACATCAAGGGAAGTACGGTTTAAAAATTCTTCTATAAAGTGTTTCGTGACTTCTCGAACAGGAAGCAAATGTGTTCTGCATTCTCATATTCTAACACTAGATGGAGACCAAGTACAGGACATTATGTCTTCAAAATAAATTTTTGACAAATTGTGCTGCTGCAAATACGATAATGTTTAATTTTGTTTTAGCATTCCTGGCAAATTGTTAATGCCTTTTTAGTTTTGGTTATCCTTATAGTTTAAAAAAAAACCAAAAAAAAAAAACAGGAAATCGGGATATCACTGTATTGTCATCATTGCAAACATGCTTAGCACTATAGCTGTATAGTTGGCTTACATTTTACATTCAGTTGGTTCCTTGTTGCTGCAGAATTTGCATCTCATTAATCAAGAGTGACTTAAAAGTGCAAACTTTGCAGGATTGGATTTTATTTTTATAATTAAAAATTTTTTAAAATGTACTTTTGTAAGTTTTTATGCACTATCTGCATAATGCATTATAGAGTTATTCTAGGCTCCACAACCACTTCACTTATTTGAAGTTGTCATGGTTCCTGAAGATCGTGTTTGCAGTGTTTTACTATGAAATTCAGCACATACAGAATTGAACCTCTCCGTTGCCGAAGATTAATCTCCACCTCTGGCTGGGTCATTGGGACGTCATTAGCCTGCCTGGAATAAGAGTTCCAGCTGGCTAATGTGACGCTTGCATACTGTACTGGTGCCAGGCCCATCCTTACACACACACAGACCTTGCAGTTCATGTCTTCCCTTCAACCCTTCTACTTTGACATCTTCTACAACATCCCTACTGCTGCGGTCAGGGGTTGTGGCATTAGCCGAGGAGAATTGTGCTGCAAGAGAACTTGGATACGTTTTTAGCTATTTTCGTTATTTTTTTTTTATTTTTATTTCTTTTAATTTGCGGAAGGGGGAACCAGTATAGGAAAGGTTGCTCTGACCAAAGACAATGTTTTCTTAAAATACTATTTTTTGGTTGGAGTAGCTCTTTAAAAGTAAGGGTCATATCCAATGTGTGTCCTTTTTAACTGCCAAATTCGCTTTGAAATTAGTTTAATAATTTCCTGCAGAGGAACATTCTTTTGTCATACATGCAATATGTATTAAACAATGTTATGTAATATATATTGCATTGGAGATGTATCTGGTATGAATAAAAATAACATTAACAGTAAAATGTATTTGAGTGATGCAAGGCCGTAGGGGAAAAGGAAATGTAACTTATGTAATCCTACAGTTGACAGCTAATTAAACCCAAAGGAAAAGTCTACGTTTAAAAAATTCATATTTTTTTAATTCAATTTAAACAAGGCGATTGAAAAATAAACATGTTAAAGGCTAGGCCCGTAGTTGTGGGAGGGGCTTGAGTCCCCTTTTAAGGGTCGCCAATCCTCTTTCCCTTACCGTTACAAGTCTGGCGAATTGCCCCTCTTTTTGCATCAGCCTCTAAGATGGGCCTTCTTTATTACAGGCCTTCTGCATTGCTTACTCAAAGTGTGTGCCTAAAGTGTGTTTAAACATCGTTTTGCTATAAAATGCTGCACCTACAGTGTTTATCCCCTCTACTGCCAGTGGATTAACTCCACAAGGTCCGGGCTGGCTAATGTGAATTTGATGCAAATTTTGATTCTTATGCCAGCACGGCAGCATGCTTGTGCCAGACATTCATTGGCGGCTCATATCCATCGCACTCGCTCCCCCCCCCCACACCGTGGTACCCATCTTAAACAAATCTAGACTGGTTTGTGTTTTTATAAGAATCCAATAAAAGTATTTTACACACTTACTTTTATTTGTTGCTGTTTTATCCTGGCTGATTTTTTTATCATTATCAAAGATCCAGTACTATAAAAGAAATCCCTGGTGGGGATTATTCCACCTACGCCTGGTTCATAGAGCAGTGTGGCTGCTCTGAACACTGTAACTACGTTTCATTTTACCTTTCACTGCTATTTTTTATATGGTAAACACTATGGGCCCTCTCTTGTGATTCTTATTTCATAAGACCGGCACTGCAAGCATCGCTAGAGGGATATCCTCCATGTGGGGAGTTTAAATACCACTGTATGCGGTTTTACTCAGAGTTGGTTATAGCTCTCCCAATTGTATGTTGGCACTCTTAGGACCTCAGTGTTGTCTGTTGTTGCAGTTAACCTACGTTATTGCACCATTGGGTTTTTCCCCCTTTTATGTATTTTATATGCTGACACTCATCTGGAATGCTGTAAGAAGTCTTGAGGATACACCTCCAAGTGTCCAGTTATATCCTACATGTGGGGAGTATTAAATACCACTGTATGCTGTTTTACCTAGAGATGAGCAGAGCTCTTTATATTGTGAGTTGGCACGTCTCTACTTCTATGTTGTTCGTGATCCAGCTTTCCTAAAACGGTTTTGCACTATTGGTCTCTGTTTCTGCTTTTGTATTTCATATTTACCACTGAGGATTCAAAGCAAGGATTGAAGAATATACACTCCAGGTCTTCGCTGTACTTTAAGAGACTCTTTATATTATTGCTGATTTTTGTTTATTATCTCTCATTGTCCAACTTAGGGCACGCTGTATTTGTTGTATCTTGTTCTCTAGACTGGTTTGTGGTTGAATTAACCCTTTAAATACTTTTCATCAAAGCAAGTAGGTACAGTTAGCACATGTGAAATCTATAGACAATATGAAAACAGATATTGGTTAAAAAAAATTATACATATATATTTTATTTTTATTTTTATCCTAATATCCTTCTTTTCTAGTAGCTCCATACTGTTGTGTCTGAGTGTATAACAGTGCTTTACAGCAGAATTACTCACAGTAATGTCTTTAAAGTACAATAAATGTGTTTAGAAATAAGTCTGTGTAAGATACATTATTCTTGTTTTAAATTACATTTTAATTGCATAAATTGTTGTTAGACATCTAAAACCTCTAAGAAAAATATCTAAGAGGCCCCGCCCTCAATCTGCATCTTTGGTTAACAAGGGAAAATATTGGATAGACTGAGACCGTCAAGGAGGCGGGGTGGGACCAAACGCCAGCCTGACCAATCAGCATCTCCTTGTAGTGATGCTTTGAATTAATGAATTTCTACAGGGAAAGTTCAGTGTCAAACTGTAGAGCGTGGAAACGCTGAACATCAGTGCAGCACTGCCCCAGGAAGCACCTCCAGTGGCCATCAGAGGAGTGGCGACTAGAGGTGTCCCTTGGGGGCAATGTAAACACTGCCTTTTCTCTGAGGCTGTGTGTACATTAAAATACCTGCAGGGACTGACTATATTTTTTCCTTTGCACACTGTCTGTTATCTTCAATTATTCCAAATTCCCTGCGCTTCCCATTTACAGTATAAATTGCAAATTAATTTTTGTTTCCAAAATACAAGTTATCATTTGTGTATGTGTAATAACGTGCCCCCTGACTGCCCTTTCTTCTAATTTGTTCAGAGGCTCACTTAGGGGAAGTTCTTTCCAGTTCAGATTGATGGCAATAATATTTAATGGCTTTGCCTTTGCTTCACATGTATTTGCCAAGGTATAGGAATAAAAAACTTTATTGGGCATCTGTCATATCTTATCTTTTTTTTTTTTTACTTAAATTTTTTTTGATGTCCTGTCGTTTAGGGAAGCCCCATTTTGTTTTCTTTTTTCAGCATGATAATCATTTAAACAGTTATACATAAGGAAAACAATAGACTACTTTTTCTTATTTATAACCTGAACGTTGCCAAGCTTTAGTCAAGCTCCACATCCTTTGTCAACTTTGTCATTGGACGGCTTCTTAGTACTCACCTTCCTCCAGAGACATGTCACCAGTTTTCTACGTTGACGCATCACAAGATACTGCAAGTCAATACAGTGCTGTAAACCGTTGGAGATCCTCACAAGTCATGCACGTTATTTGACGGGCACACCATTGGAAGTGCAGAGAAGGAGATTTCTGGAGACCAGTATCTTGCTAAGATGGTGGCACTGTGAATGAATACCCTGTCGGACCGGCACAGAATGAATAGATATATGTTGCACCAGACCTGCTGGCCACAAATTCTTACTACGGTTTTGGGATATGCCGTTTTAAAGTTGGGGAGCAGATAGTCAATATAGTGACAGAGCCGCTTTAAGAGATATACAAAACCACAACTCTAGTGTGTTTCAAGGAAGAACGTAGCAATATATCTAATTATTCTATGTTGTATGAGAATGGTGTTCATTTAAATAATCTGGAAGAAACTATAATAGATAATTAAGATTTTATACAATTATTCAAAAGTAAATGTGTTGACAAAAATATTCCTAAATACGGGGCAGTGAGAGATGTGCGATAATCCTCAACGCCATTGTAGGATAAAAACAAATAGCGATTTCTCATGGAACTACGAGAAGGTACTGTTTAAAAATAGAAACAAGTCTGTTGGAAGGCATTACGTCAGAGCTCAGATTGATGCGTACCCTTGAGATCCCTCTTCATCTGTTCAATTATGTAGGAGAAGAAATTAGAGGTCACATATGAGCAGTTTGTATTACTCATAGCTAAACCAGAATTTAATTTCTCGTTCAGAAGAGAAATCTCAGATCATGTGAAAATGCCAGATGGATTCCTATATTTAAAATCTTTTCTTAGAGCCTTCATGTTGTGTGCCCAGTGTTATAATTTCGGAAAGTGTGACAGTTTTCCAGTCGCAGTAATACAAATCAACTCAAAGTATTCCTGTGTAATGAATGATCAGGCACTGATAACTGTTCTTAAATTATTTTAGTATTCTAAAAGGATAACATTGGTAACATTACTTTGCTCTGCAGTTGGTACCGCAAAAAATCACCAAAGGTTCTAATAAAGATGCTGCAAAAATAATACTAGTGAGAAGATGTATATATGAGTCAGCTTATCTCTCTACTAATAATTTGAAGCACTCTAGAATTCAAGAATTCTATATTGTGATGGAAAATTAAAACCAACAGATTTATTCCCTAAAGAATGAATTGCCCGATTCCAAGGAGAAGCTTCACATGTCGGTTACCCATTTTGTAATGAGCATTGCATGCCTAAATCTAAACAAAAAAACAGGAATGCTCGATGGTTCCTTTGCAGGTTTTGCTTTTGAATTAATTAATAATTTTAAGATCCAGCACAAGGAAGAAAACATTATAAATGTAAATAAAGGCAAGTGGCAAATCATAGAAGAGGCATAAGGAAAGGGAAAAAACATAACACAGCCGCTTTAATTTTCAGACATTGGTTGGTCCTTGCGAAGCTGGCAGCCCCAGATCAGTTTGACACATTTCCCCATAGCTTTCTGGAAGATCCTGCTTTGCTATACCTTAATTAGAGTTCACTACTTATTTTTCAAGTACTTTTTGGTGAGAAAATGCAATCAATTTCAATCAAACTGTTTTGAGTAATCAAGAACAGCCATAATCTTAAATCTGAAGTCCCAGCATTTTGTTTGTTGCTTCTATTTTATTAACACAATGAAAAGTTTAGTGTGGATACTGAATACTGCTTCTATTAAGGATCCTGCAGCCTCCTCCTAGTCCTTCCCTGGCTCTCCCCAGCTTCCTCCTCACTGCTCACACTCGTGGCTGGGAATCAGAGACTTCTCAATAACAAGCCTTTGATTGTCCGTTTCTACAGCACATACTGAAACTCTGTCCTAGGGTAAAGGGTAGGGCTTGCAAAGGCTGCACACATAAGAACTGCAGCTTTTGCACGCTGTTTTTTTAGATATACCCCCAATGCCAACATGCTTTAATTTAATGCATGCATATTTTCATTGGTAGAATTGCTTCTTTATAGTAATTTTATTTAAACAAAAATAGTGTGGACTGTTCCTTTAAGGGACACTACAGTGAAAAAGTACATTCATTAAAAAAAATTAAACTTTTATGTAATGTGTTCACTCCACATGAAGCATTACAATAATATAACTAATAATAAAGAAAAATGTACATTGTAATCCACTAATGGAGCACTAAAAAGATCCTATCACTCTGCAAACACACTCAAACATGACAGGTCCACATGCCACGCAGTTAGAGTATCTAAGAGAGCTGCTTCATTTGAGTTTTGTGCTCCCAGTTGCCCGGATAGCCTTAGTTTTAAAAGCCTTGGTGTTAAAAATGCATCAGGTGTGAAGGAAAGCGTATTCTTCCATTACAGAAGGAAAACACCCTGACCAACGCAGATGAAAAGAAGCCAAGATTTCAGTCACAAGTGCTGTCACTAAAATGCACAGCGAGTGTCAGAGCTGATTAATCTCCGGTGATCATGTCCAAGAATCATAAATATGGAGTTTCCTTGACAATCGAGGGCGAGCATCCTGCTTTAACCTGCTTTCAACATTATTAATGGGCAGTTAAATGTAAATTTCCAGCAGGTTTTCCCATTCCATTAGCAGGAAGATGCCAAGTAATTGTTAAGGGTTTTTTCTCTTACTTTTTTTAGATTAACTATTTAGAGGCAACTAACAGGAGTGCAGGGGATAAACATTTGACGCGTTTCTTAACAGGCTTCAGTGTCTGTGACAATTCCAGTCACTCTCCGTAGAGTGGATAAAAATTGTTGATTTAAAAAATATATACATTTTTATATTTAAATCTGATTTGAATAACATTTATTTTAATACAATGCTTTTGTAGGCCAAATCTATCTGAAGATTTTTCAATTTCAAATTCATTGCATACCAAAGATTATTCAGTAGCATGAGGCTGTATATTATCTATGCATTTCTAATGGTAAATGACAAAATCAGTTATGATAGAAATGTTAAACTAGTCTGAAACATTTTTATTCTTTGTTGTAAATACTAAAGAAAATAACAACCAGCAAGAATGAACCTTTACATTGAGACATCATGGTTTAAATCAAATTCACCCTGGTACTTTGGAAGAATTTCACAGTGGTTACTGGGAGGGAGGGGTAATGGTTTTCATCATTCATCTGAAATGGCATTCTCTGCTTAGTATGCCCAAATTTGTTTTGTTTCACTTACACCTTATTTACATACTATTTGCTAAAATCTATAATTCTATAGTGTATTCTTAGTGTTCTAAGTTCTGATTTAATGCAGCTAATATGCCCCCACCAGAAAGGGGAACTTTCCAGGCCATTGACAACCAATTAACCCATGGATGTTGATGTATTTTTAATGTATGATTCCTCTCACTGGTTCGAACTTCTATCTGTGCTCATCATGGTATAATGACTTTCATTTAAAATATTGGAGCACGCAATTAATGCAGCTACATGTTTTGTTGAGAAATGTACACCCCATGCTAACCTATTAGCTCAGGGGAACCATCGATTGGAATAAAGAGCCAGTACAGTTTATATATATGACTATTTCCATTTAGCAAAAAGAAGCAGTGTAGCTAGCGGCTTGGTTTTATGCAGAGCCAATTTTATAGTTACCAAAACAACTTTAGCTTAATGAAGCAGTTTGGGTAAATATATCAGGCCTCTGAAGTCTCCCTGCTCAATTATCTGCCATTTAGGCGTTAAATCACTTTTGTTTCTGTCCATGCAGTCCTAGCCAAACCTCCCCTGGATGCGACTGACACAGCCTTCATGAAAAAAATGGTTTCACTTTCAATCAGATTTAATGTACTGCATAAACAAATGGATTTAATTCCTAAATGGCAGAGAATTTAGCAATGCGACTGCAGGGTCTATACGCCAAAACTGCTTCATTACTTTGGTATACTTTTGTTTAAATGACTATAGTGCCATTTTTGCTCTAAAAAATGGAGATGTTCTGTTCAAGTCTAGCCACTTCTTTTCGATATATCTTTCGAACCACAGCATCAAAAAATGGATAATCAAAATTACCCGCATACAAGTTTGTGATGTGTTTTTAAAAAAAAAAGAAATAATAATATGATGTGCACGTTATAGATATGGGCATATTTACACGTCCGAAGAATGAAGTAAAGCTTGGATGCAAAGATAAAGCTCTCTGACTGTGCTGTCTGTTTTTTCTGGAAACTCCCAAACATAGGAACAGTGTCTTGCCTCTAGAATCTGTAACTCTGCCCTGAACTTTTGTTTCACACACAGATAATCTAATCTTTCCCTCCTACGTATAATACTTTTTTTCTGAAGCATTTGGATATTCCAGGCAAACTGGGGTATTATAGTTGTATATTGAAAGGTTTTATTCCAACCTTCAGATTCCTCCTGTAATATAGCGCATGCCTCAGAAAACATGTTTAAGCAAAACCTGACCAAATAATAAAGTGTGGCGGTCTTTTATTTCAATCATATTCTACAGTCTTGAACAAAATTGGGTCACTCATCGGTGTCAAAATGCTCATCTACTATAGATCATCTTTTTAGAAAAATCAACTCTTGAGGCTATTCATTATTTGTGCAAATATAAGGCTTCTACAACTCTGTCTTGGAGTCAGATCAGTGCCCCCTTCTTTATAAAATACATTTTCCAAAACACCTTACCAGACTCTCCCTGGTATCTGTTGGGTCTCTAGTGTTTTATCTTGAAACACTGAACATGCAGAGTTTTAACCCCTTAGCTGCAGAAGGTTTAACGTGATTAGTAAGCCAAGAACAAGAATTCAAGGCTGGCTAATGCTAATTCTGTGCATTTTGTTATTCTCAAATAAGTTTTTATTTTTTAGCAATTTGCCAGTTATTGGCTGAGGGCAATCAGATAACAGATTATCAGCTTCTGTCTTCTACATCTCGGCAAAGGAGCTAGGAGCCTCAGAGCCCGGCGGGGACCAAGGAAATTGGTTAAACCATTGCTTATAGCGTTGCTCATCACTGGGAAGCAGGAGCAGGATACTCATGGCATCATCACCACTAGAACGGGCCTGTAGTGGTTATGATGTTTGGAGAAACCCTTTATTTTATTCCCTATAGTTAATTGGTAAAACAAAAAAAAGGACCTGTATTTGTAATTAAGGGAGATTAAAACCCATGAGCAGCAGGGGGGGAGGGGGTCCTATTGTTCCTCCCCCCCCCCCCCGGGGGCCAAAAGTAACAAAAGAGGGGGACCTGTTGTCGTCATCCCAATCCCCACCCAATGGTGCTGGGTGGGGGCTAAATGTAAAAAAAAATACCCCAACCCCACCTGACAATTGACTAGGGGTCCCCAAGCCCCTAGTCACCCCCTCCCCAATAAAATTAAACCCTACCTACCCCCTCACCCTAAAAATAGTGAGGGGGGAACTAAAAACTAAATACCTGTAAATAAAAAAAAAATTATACTTACCATTAGATGTCTTCTTTTTTTCTTAAACCTTCTTTTTTCAGCCCCAAAAAAGGCCAAATAAAAACCGACGCCCCAAAAAAACAATCCATCTTCACCCAGTGAAGGCACCGCCCAGTCTGAGCTCCGCAGGGTGGGGAAAGGCAATTTGACTCAGAGCGCTCTGATTGGTTGGTTTAGGCCAACCAATAAGAGTGCTCTAATAGGTCAATTTGAGCCTTGCAAGTTACCAATAAGGCAAGGCCTTTTTTTAGGGCTAAAAAAAAGTTCAAGAGAAAAAGAAGACATTTATACTAATGGTAAGTATATATATATATATTTTTTTTATTTACAGGTATTTTGTTTTTTGTTCTCCCCTCACTATTTTTAGGGTGAGGGGGTAGGTAGGGTTTAATTTTATTGGGGAGCGGGGTGACTAGGGGCTTGGTGACCCTTAGCCAATTGGGGGGGTATTTTTTACATTTTTGTTACCCCCCCTTTTGTTACTTTTGTCCCCCAACCGCCGCTTAAGGGTGGGGGCCGGGGATGACGTCAATATACCCCCCTTTTGTTACTTAGGGCTCCACCCACCGCTCATGGGTGGGGGGGGAGACAATAGGTTCCCCCCCTTATGTTACTTTTGGCCCCAACCCGCCAATCATGAGTGGGGGCAGCGGTGGGACCCCAGGTCCCCATTCCATTGAGTAGTCCCTACACGGCTGTCCTCCCCTGTTAATTATTTTAGAAGATACCCCACCATGGGGGACCTGTGCTATGTCACCCTTTATTTGATTCAGAGAGTGGTGGGCTTTTTTTTTTATTTATTTTTTATTTTTTTACAGGGAGCAGGCACTGGCTGGTCACTGTTTAGCAGACATGTTCCTACTCGCGGCATAGCGAGTAGGGGCATTCAGGAGATTTTAATCTCCCTTATGCTAAAACGAGGAATGAATATATATATATATATATATATATATATATAAAATACAATTTTATTCTGCATATTGATATTGTAAGGCTTGTTACCTTTTTGTAATTTTGGCTTTTTTCATGGACACTTGTTATGGATTTATGTATGTACAGTATACATTTTCCTTATTTTACCTTTGCACACTGCATGGCTGGTAAATCTCAATTATATTTTCCAACCTTGTGTATATTTATATATCTGTCTACTATGAAAATCTATCGGTTGATGTAATTTGTTACAGATGCACACATTTCTACTGATTCCCACAGTTAGAGCATCTTGTCCTCATTGCTTGAAAACAGGAGCATTTGGTATCACAGCAATTGGGTAAGTATTTTAATAATCAGCCTTGACATACATGACATATGGTCTTGCAATGCTCCACTAGGTCATGAACTGAATACTTAAAAAAATAAACAGAAAATAATAAATAAACAGAAGCCTTTTGAATCCCTGCTGTGTAGAAAGAGTCCACAGGAAATTAACATTGATTGCAGAGTGTCATATAATGAATCTAATTCATGTACGTGTAGAAGGGCAAAGTTCAATTATGTAAACAGTCTTCCATTTAAGCTACATACACATACATTGATCGGCCACAACGTTAAAACCACGTGCCTAATATCGTGTAGGTCCCCCTGGCGCTGCAAAAACAGCTCTGATGTGTTGAGACATCGACTCCATAAGACCTCTGAATGTCATGTGGTATTTTACACCAGTACATTACCAGCAGATCTTTTAAGTCCTGCAAGTTGCGAGGTGGTGCCCCCATTAATCCGATATGTTGTTCTAAAACGCCAGATGCTCACAGGTGTGAGTTGAGATCTGGGGAATTTGGAGGCCAAGGCAACATCATTAACTTTTTGTAATGCTCCTCAAACCATTCCTGAACAGTTTTTGCAGCGTGGCAGGTAAATTATCCTGCTGAAAGAGACCACTGCCATCTGGCAACATCATTCCTATGAAGGGGTGTACGTGTTCTGCAACCGTCTCTAGGTAGATGGTACCTGTTAAATTAACATCCTCATCAGTGCCAGAACCCAAAGTTTCCCAGCAGAACATTGCTCAGAGTATAACACAGTCTCTTCTGCCAGCCTACCATCTTCCCATAGTGCATCCTGCTGCCATCTCTTACCAAGATAAATGACCAACATGCACCAGGCCATCTACCTAATCTAAAAAGATAACTTGATTTATCAGACCAGGCAAACTTATTTATTTTTTTATTATTATTGCTCCATGTCCAGTTCTAAAACTCATGTACCCATTGAAGGTGGTTGACGGGATCGTCATGGGCACTCTGACGGGTCGGCGGCTACACAGCTCCACACAAAGCAAATTGTGATGCATATGTGTTCTGACACATATGCATCACAAATTTGAGCAACAGTAGCTCTTATGTGCGATCAGTACAGATAGGCCAGCCTTTGCTCCCAATATGCATGACCCTGACACCAGTTAACCAATTGTCCTTCTTTTCACCACTTTTGGTAGGTACTGAACACTGCATACCAGGAAAACCCCACAAGACTTGCCGTTTTGGAGATGCTCTGACCTAGTCATCTAGCCATCACTATCTGGCCCTTGTCAAAGTCATTCAGATCTTTTCGCTTGCCCATTTTTCCTGCTTCCAACACAAGAACCGACTGTTCACTTGCTGCCGAATATATCCAACCCATTGACAGGTACCATTGTATCGATATGATCAATGTTATTCACTTCACCTGTCAGTGGTTTTGATGTTGTGGCTGGTCAGTGTATATCCTTTAGTTACACAGGACAATATATTAACTTTAAAAGATTATTACCACAATATTGAATCATTGCTGTTGAAATATAAATGCTCATCTTCTGATTTCCTGTGACTCCTGTAGTTCCTGAAAGTTTGCTACGTTCCAGTGGTTTGTTCCCTCTCTGATTTCATTGCGGCTTTGTCCAAGGTGGATCTTCAGTGGGTGTCATTTATGGAATTTGTGAGTTAGTGAATGGAGATCCGTCTTCATTGAATATAACCAGGACTAACCTTTGGAGTGTATTTGCCCATGGTGGGTGCACATAGACCTTAGCAGTGACTCATCTTGTTTGAACTGAGAGAGGAATTATTGGGAAATATATTGATTTGCAATAAATACCATTTTCCATAAGCAGGTTTTTAATCCGTGCTTAGAGCATTTCCCCTAAGTATGTATTATTATTTTTATTTTGCAAAATTTCCCTCCTGTGCTACTTCTAAGACTTTGCTGTACTACCAGATATTCCATCAGCTTTCCATATCTCTCGGGTTAGTGAGTTTTATCATACTCTACTTAAATACATCTTTAAAAAACAGTATTAATAGCTTAGGTCTCTGCACATGGTTAACAGTTTTAGAATACAGACATAAATTACTGCTGAACAGGTGTTACATTGACCACTAAGAGAAGATTAGTAATTTTATCTGAAAAACTGTGAACTAATTACACAAGTTCTGCCATTGACCTAGCCAACAGTATTAACCCCTTAAAGGACCACTATAGTGCCAGGAAAACATACTTGTTTTCCTGGCACTATAGTGCCCTGAGGGTGCCCCCACCCTCAGGGTCCCCCTCCCACCCGGCTCTGGAAGGGGGAAAGGGGTAAAAACTTACCTTTTTCCAGCGCTGGGCGGAGAGCTCTCTGCCTCCTCTCCTCCTCCGATCCTCCTCCGTTACGCCCCGCCGGCTGAATGCGCACGCGCGGCAAGAGCTGCGCGCGCATTCAGCCCGTCGCATAGGAAAGCATTTACAATGCTTTCCTATGGACGCTGGCGTGCTCTCACTGTAAAAATCACAGTGAGAAGCACGCAAGCGCCTCTAGTGGCTGTCAATGAGACAGCCACTAGAGGATTAGGGGGAAGGCTTAACCCATTAATAAACATAGCAGTTTCTCTGAAACTGCTATGTTTATAAAAAAAATAGGTTAACCCTAGAAGGACCTGGCACCCAGACCACTTCATTAAGCTGAAGTGGTCTGGGTGCCTAGAGTGGTCCTTTAAGGACCAAACTTCTGGAATAAAAGGGAATCATGACATGTCATGTGTCCTTAAGGGGTTAAAGGAATGCTACAAGGTTTTAAAAGTGAGCCTAAAATTAAATGCATTCATTGAACTCTCCTGTTTGTATTCTGGTAATGCTTTCCTATGCTCCATATGTTTTAATGTTTTTCTTATTTATTTTTGTTTCTTTTTTTTTTTTACAAACAAAAAAAAAACAACAAAAACTAGTGGATGGGTTAAATCTAAAAAAAATTTTTAATTTAAGGTGAATTTTAAATTTTAGTTCAAAATTTGAAGGTTTTGTTAATTTTGGTTTAGAATTTGAAATGTATATTTAAGATTCACTCTGACATTTCAACAGTTCACAATTTAGTGTTTATCTGTGTGAACTTCTGTGTTTATGCTTATGAGGAACAGATAACTTTATAATTTCCTTAACTACCGTGTGGTCTATGTGTACTTTTGGTGATATAGCATTATAAAGAGGTTCTCTTTCCAACCACTAAGAATTCTCTGTAACATTTTAAAATGTTTTTTTTTAACAAATCAATGCTGATTTAATCTAGCAAAGCTATAGCAAATGTAACAAATAGCCACTGGAAAATCTGACATATTTTCAAGCATGTCATCTTTGAGGTGTATCACAATTTTCTAATTCTAGGTAACAGGACCTGCAAAGATCAAGTGATTAAAAAGGCCATCTAGTGTTTTTGATGCTCTGTAGTGGGATTGTAACTTTATTTGTTATATTTTTCCAGTGCTTGTGAAGACTTTTTTTTTCTCACCTTACTAGGATTGGAGGGCTGTTTGCTGAATTAAAAGTAACAAAATAGAGTTAGGAATACAAAACTACATTCCTAACAATGTCGTTTTGCCTCCGGGCCCCCTACAGCACTCAAAGGGTTACATTCCTGATTCCAGCTCCCATGTCCTTCTGTGCCGGGTCAGGTTCCTCCTCCAGCGACGTCATGGCTATTTGCGCCATGCACGTATTAGGCTATCCTTAAAGGAAAGCATTGAACCAATGCTTTCCTCTAAAGATTTACAAGAAGCTGAACATCCTCATGAAAAGCATGAGAACATCCAGAGAACATCCAATTTCGCTGAGTTAAACTTTTAGTGCAGGAAATATATAAAGGGAATCAATATATAATATTGGGAATCTTTAAATATATAAAGGGAATCAACACAGTAAAGGAGGAGACTATATTTAAAAGAAGAAAAACTACCACAACAAGAGGACATAGTCTTAAATTAGAGGGGCAAAGGTTTAAAAATAGAGGGTAGTGGATGCATGGAATAGCCTTCCAGCTGAAGTGGTAGAGGTTAACACAGTAAAGGAGTTTAAGCATGTGTGGGATAGGCATAAGGCTATCCTAACTATAAAATAAGGCCAGGGACTAATGAAAGTATTTAGAAAATTGGGCAAACTAGATGGGCCGAATGGTTCTTAACTGCCGTCACAATCTATGTTTCTAAGTGCCCACTAGAGGCAGTCTTAACCCACCCTGCATTGTAGTTTCTCTAAAACGGCAATGTTTTACATTGCAGGGTTTATGGGACAGAAACACTGCACCCAGACAACTTCAATAAAAAGAAGTTGTCTGGGTGCCTATAGTGTCTTTTAATTTGGACCAATAGTACTGTCAAACGTAATTTATTTTAATTTGAGTTGTTCTTCTATTTATTCATTAGGTTCAGGCTCAAGTGCGTCATACCAAATCAGCCTTTGACAGATTGAAAACAGACGTGTGTGAAAAAGTAGATCTCCTTCGAGCCAGTAGATGCAATCTTTTGTCTCATGTCTTAACGACATACCAGGTAACAGAATCTTTAATTTCCAAGTTGAAAGATAATCCCATCAATTCAAAGCCATATCTTTTGTCTTGTCACGCATTATCAATAGCTATGTGATAAATGTATTTGTTTTCTTCTTTGAAAGACAACATTGCTACACTTCTGGGAAAAGACTTCTCACACAATGGCAGCAATTCATGAAAGTTTCAAGGGTTACCAACCGTATGAATTCACAACAATAAAGGTAAGCAAGGGGGTGGGAAAAAATATCTTTATCCAAACATTCCCCATTAAGGGTATCTTTATCACAGCAATAAAAAAAAAAAAATGAAGAATTACATTTCTTTATGGACATGTTGGTGTTTAATAACTGCTACTAAGGTGTTTTGGTGATGTTTACTAATCCGAGTGTTTTATCCTTGCTTGGCAGGCTCTAAGCAAATTGGTGAAATAGATCACAGGCTTAATTACTTTAAGTTCACGTAGCTCTTCATCATTCTAAATGTCAGTGAAATGCTTGTTAATATAAGTATTTTCTTATTTACTGTAGAGTGCTTTGATGTTTCTTTGCAGACTAAAGCATGCTATTTAAAGGAACAAACGTATATTCCTAACACTATAGTGTCCTAGTCACTGTTTGGGTAACCAGAGCCCCCAGTAAGATGTAAAATACAAGTAAAATTACATTTTCTCATGTTTAGGAGGCTAGTGCACATGTGCGGCAAAACGCAAATCAGATGGTTTCTGTGAGACCGTCTGATTGAAAAAGCTGATTTTTACTTGGCTATTTCGGAGGAAACACCTTTGTATGACAGCCACTAGAGGCATTTTACGCAGAAAGGCAATTTTTTCAGTTTCATGGTTAAAACGAGAGGAACATAGCAACCAGACCACTTCGTTGAGATAAAGTGGTCTGGGTGCCTATCGTGTACCTTTAAGCAAAATATAAAAAAAATTTTAGTAGCACTAGGAAAAGGAGAAGTGAATGGTGTATTTGCTACCCACCTATTGACTTTAGGTTGTACTCTTGCTAGTATCTGAAATTTAAAAAAAAAAGGTATTAATGTCTGAACTAAGGGAACACAAAGAAATTTGAAACTTATTTTGCATTGAAATTGTTGATGTCAAGATTGTAAGGGAGACTTGTGCCTTTTCTAATGAACTGTTTATAAAAAGATGTTTCTTAACATCCGGTGTTAAAACTCAAAGTCTTCACTCTTATCGAGAAAGCTGAGTAGTCATCGCTGCGGACACCAAGGACACAATTCATTTTAATGTGATCCCATTTTAGTCAAATATTAGGAAACCAAAGCTAAAAAACTTTTGAAAAGAGACATGAATGAGTGGCGAAGAATGGAACTTGCATTTGTGAGGAATGGAACTGATCAGCCACAACATTAAAACCACTGACCAGTGACGTGAATAACAATGATTATATTGTTACCATGGCACCTGTCAAGGGGTGGAATATATTGGGCAGCAAGTGAACAGTCAGTTCTTGAGTTTCATGTGTTATTGGAAGCAGGAAAAATGTGCAAGCGAAGAGATCGGAGTTACTTTGACAGGTTCCAAGTAGTAAAAAAATAACTATTTGCAAAAAGCACTTCTTTAAAGAAAAGAGAGAAGAAATAAAATCCCTTTAATACTTCTCCTTTAAGAACACAGAACACCTTTGTGTTAATGAATGTATATGCTGCTAAGACACCTTAGTGCAGTTCACCACTCTGTGTATAACACACCATGCACTAATGGCAGTATGGATAAGGGTATTAGTAAGTGAATAGATGAAAGGTACACAATCTAAACCAATACTTATATTTTTCATGTACTGTCTGTTGCAGGTTTTTTTCCAAATATCACAGAAAAAGATAATAAAACATAGAACATATAATGCAGATGGTATTTGCAAATGACAGAAATTAATGTATACGCTAAGGTAGTTATACACACTCACTTTTACTAAAGCTTATAAACCAGCTCTAGTATGTGACGCATTCGTGACTTTAACAGGTGGTCACCATCCTCTTCCAAATGTGCTCACTTGAACTACTAAATATTTAGTACTTGGCAAACACAACCTTTTATTTAACATCTACTTAAAACATGAATAAAGTTGCCTATGACAGTCAAAGTTGTGAGTAAAATACAGCTGTTTTCTGCTACTCACAGATCATGTATTTAAACTGTAACTAGAGTCAAGCTCTGGAATTGTATGCTTTCAATTTTGCAACATCATGGCTCCGTCCACTGTTGTGATGTTGTTTGTCCACTTCTATGCATTTTGCATGTATGCTTCGTCAGGGCGTTGTTAATTGGAGTTACGAGCCATTCTCAATTCTTAAATCCCATCCGGGACTGTCCACTTGATTTTTATTGGTTAATGAGTCTAATTCTTAGTTACGACTGGTTCAGAGCCAAAACAGCAAGTCTTGTGGGGTGTTCCTGCTATGCAGTGGTTAGTACCTACCAAAAGTGGTGCAAAGAAGGAAAACCAGTCAACCCGCATCAGGGTCATGGGCGCCTAAGGCTCATTGATGCACGTGGGGAGCAAAGGTTAACCTGTCTGGAACGATGACACAGAAGGGTTACTGTAGAGCGAACTGTTACAAAAAAACGTAATGCCGATGCCATGAAAGAAAGATTTAAGAACACACAGTGCATCTCAGTTTGCCATGTATGGGGCTGCATCGGTCAGAGTACCCATGATGACCTTGTCAATCGCCAAAAGCTCCTGCAATGGGGACATGAGCATCAGAAATGGACCATGAAGCAATGGAAGATGATAGGATAGCAGGATAATGCACCTTGCTACACTTCAAAAATTGTTCAGGAATGATTTGAGGAACATGACAGAGCATTCAAGGTGTTGCGTTGGCCTCCAAATTCTTAGATCTCCGTTTGAGCATCTGTAGGGTGTGCTAACATAACAAACCTGACCCATGGAAGCCCCACCTCTCAACTTGCTGGACTTAAAGCATCTACACGATATTAGGCAGGTGGTTTGAATGCTGTTGCTGATCAGTGTATGTAGCTAATTTAGTGTGCAGGTTAACAAAACTTAAAAATGCTTACAGGCAATTTTTTAAGAAAAAGGAAGGGTAAAGATTTGCTCATAGCGTCAAAACAAAGTCTTCCTATTTTTAAATATGTCAGAAATGCGACATTAATGAGTTATAAATGTTGTATATTGATGAGTTATCTGATTAAAGCCATATGGAGTGTGTATGCCTAGCATAAAATAAATAAATGGAAGAAATGATAATGCACAGATTATATCGCTGATGATTCACTGCTGATTGTTTTATAATAACTTTCCATACATTTCTATCTGTCACAGCAGCAAAACACTGTTAAAAAATATGGACCGTTCATGCATTGCAATCGTCCATAAGAATTCTCATTACTTGTACCGTTGGATCCCCATGCTGGGAGAATATGACTACTTATTTCTGCCGTGACATTTATCACGCTGAGAGCATCATGCTGAGCAATGTTAAAGAGAATTTCTAATCGGGAAACATTAGGAGCTCTGTGCCTGATGAATAATAGCAATTACTTTCAAAGCTAAACTATCTTTCTGGCATCATACTTATTTGTATTAAATACAAACCAATTTGTTTTGATTTTATGTGTGTGTGTCCGTATGTGTGTTTTACTTTTATGAAACTGTCTCTGTGCTCTAGATCCTGCGTAGCAAGCTTGTGACCAGCCAGCCTATCTTGAAATGAAATGCTTGTAATTTTCCTACACCAGGGGTGCCCAAAATGTACATCTCCAGATATTTTAAAACTACAGCTTCCTCGATGTTGTCATTCTGAAGGCATGCAAAGCATTGTGGGGGTTGTTGTTCTACAACATCTGGGGATCTTCCTTTTGGGCACCCATGTCCTACAGCCTGTGTCCTAGAACTCCAGTTGAAAGAGGGTAATGGGAGCTATAGTTCACCAGTACCTCTTCCAGATCACATAGCTAACAGCTAATTATTTGTCAATACAGTTGTTGACTACTTTCCAATGATTTTCATCTAGCCTTATGACAGATGTGATCTTTTCTTTAAAACCACAGTTATTTGTTAATATAATAAATTTCAGTGCCTAACATGTTCAAACTGCAACTCCGTTAAGTGGGTATTTCCTGCTTCCGTTTTATGCTTGATGAGATGAGATAATTAGTGTTAAAAACTAGATCAAAGCTATTGTGCAAAGAAGCATATAATGAATTGTGTTTTGCATACTGGATACATTCTACATACTATTGAAATGTGCTCTGCTCTGTGTATTTTATTTATTCTGTGCCTGCATATGCTATCCATTGGAATTATAATGGATAAAATGGAAGAGAGTTCATGGTAAAGGTTACATAACCGTGATTGCTGTCCTTTCAGTAATGTTGTATGAGCTATATTTCCGATGATACGTAGAGAATACTTTGTCCCATTCTTTCAAGCACTGGGTCACAAGTACGGTTATGTGTTAGCCCCTGGGTTATAAAACAAGAAGCAGTGAAACGGAATTCATAAGGAAATGGCACTCCTCTGATAGTGACAGTTCTTCCATCATTCCAATAAATTATGTTAAAGCATTTGTGGGGCTGAGGAGTGCAGAGGAGGAGAAGTGAAACTATGGGATAATAATGATCTTCTGTATAATGCGTCTATTTCTGAAGGATTCGCCGTTTCTGGGTGGAATGTGTTGTAGGAATTTAAAGGGATATTTTATAACCAATGTAACATTTTATGACTGAGTCGCAAGCATCTCATTTATCAGTCTTGCTTATAGTTTATGCTATGCCTTTGTTACATAGATATAAAGAAGAATCTTTAGTAATTAGATGTATCGTAATGTTTGGTTGGCATAATGCAATAGTAAAAATGCACCAATTTTTCAACTTTAAGATGAATAGAATCTTCTGATGTTAAAGGTTGCCAGTGAACACTTGATATTAGAATAAAAAATGTCAAATGCATGCTTATTGTATTTCAACAGCTAATCTGATTTTCAAACATCAGCATTTGGATTTTAAGCAATTGCATCACAGCCTTTTCAACTGTGCATAGATTAATAAATACTGTACAGTTGACAGTACTCCACCCTTCACAGATGTCTACATTTAGACAATGTGATCCCAGAGTTCACAGCAGCATATCAGAAATATTTTCACATACATCCTGTCCTGTCACATTCCTATAGTTATCTCTTCCTATAAGGGAATGACCTCAGATTGGCACAATAACAGGCTAAACTTTTAATGAAATGCTCATCTGTTTTGATCAGTAGCATTAACTATGCTCAAAGATAGCAACGTGTCAGGTGATTTTGTGAGGAAAAACCTTTTTTTTTTTTCCTGCAATTTTATTTCAAGAACCTTTGGTGCATTTGCATGGCATGCAAGGTTGCCAAACCCATGTGGGCCAGTTGAGGAGATAAGAGGATCTCCCCAGCTGTTCCAGTGGGAGCCTGTGGTTTGCACCTCCAGTGGGTGCAGCCACCACAAGTAAACTACCCTCACTCTTTAACGTGGTTTAGGGATTTAGAACGTTGCTGTGGGTTACCAAGTCTCACTGGATCAGAGGCAGAGGCACAAGTAGTCTGTACCATAGAAGGTGCAGACTGCAAATCTACACACCAAACCACAAAGGATTAATGATAATTCATGCTCCCTCCCTGGCCAAAAATACATATGAACACACAACACCAAAGACACACATAATACCATAAAAAGTCTACATAAGTACACATAACACCACAGACAGCCCCAAGTTCATAAGTATTTTTGAAAAGTGCACACATGCATTACAAAACATGCAACCCATAAACAGACCCTATAGTATTAACCACTATCTGGCCCCCGGTTGCCTCCCTAAAGATAGTAAAATCTTACTTGTATTCAAGTCTGAAGCTGCTGCCTCTGCCTGTGAACTTCATCTGACATCATCAGAAGTGGTAGCCTGATCCAATCACAATGCTTCCCCATAGGATTGGCTGAGACTGACAAGGAGGCAGATCAGGGGCAGAGCCAGCAGAATTCAAACACAGCCCTGCCCAATCAGCATCTCCTCATAGAGATGAATTGAATCCATGAATCTCTATGAGGAAAGTTCAGTGTCTGCATGCAGAGGGAGGAGATACTGAATGTTTGGATGCATTTTAGGCAGCCATGACCCAGGAAGGATCTCTAACAGCCATCTAAGGAGTGACCAGTGAAGTTATCACTAGGCTGTAATGTAAACACTGCATTTTCTGTAAAAAGACCGTGTTCACAGCAAAAAGGCTGAAGGTAATGATTCTACTCACCAGAACAAATACAATAAGCTGTAGTTGTTCTGGTAACTATAGTGTCCCTTTAAATTTTAGGAGACTTACCCTCTAATAAACAGAACCATCTTAGACCTTTGGAGTGTCATCTGTGTTCCCTGTTACTTCACTTGACTTATAAGTGAAGTAGTGAAGCGGGTGACTCAAAGCTTAGTTGATGCTGCTAATGTCTAACAGTGTGCGTCTGCTCACAAGTAGTGGCTAGGGCACAGACAGACAGGGGAAGGACAGAAATAATGATCAGGAGTTTAGAGACGGTTTAGTCATTGATTCTTACATGAACTCAGAATGCTTTGCCCCAAGATGGCCACCATTTCAGTATGCACTCATTAAACAAACACTACAAGCACCATATGCCCACTGTAGTGATTATCGTGCCAGAAGTTCTCTAGTCCTTTCTCAGGGTAAATAGTTGACAACATACCTTGTTTCTGCCTACAAAGATCTTCTATTAGTTCCACTGAGCGAAGTCCTGCCATGCCATACTGCATGTAAATTGTCAAAACTATTTGACTACATAGCTTATAAGGGCACTCCTGGCGCTAGAACTACTACAGTTGGTTGAGATAGTTATGGTGTTTGGAGTCTTCATTTAAGGTGAATAGGACAAGCATAGGCAGAAAATGTGATATTTTGAAAGATGTCACTCAGCGCAGTCCTCTCCTTTAGGCACATGCCTTATATACCTGAACAGAAATCTGTCCCTGACTCCGGGAAATTTACGTTATAGTTACATCGTTTTTAGATCTTCATGTTAACTTATTTAATGGAACTGGAGCAACAGTAATACATGGAAGAAAATCATGTTGACAGGGAACTTGGGCCACCCAGTGTTTCCCATAATCCCCTTTGCTGCATTTTCCTCTAGAAGTGAATGTGTAATGGTTACAGCCAGTGGCGTTTTATTCTTGTGAATTAATCAGTGGAAGATGAAAGTGAATGGAAACCACAGGCAGCATCTGTTCACTAACACAAGGTGTTCTCTTTTTATCGAGATTAATGATACATCACAGGCAGTTCTAATGGTCATGTGTTAATGGAATTTAATTTATATAATTTGTTTGTTTTTTGTTACATAAAATGCAATGTAAAGACTGCATAAACTGATTGTGTAAGTGTTGTAGACTGTATAGTTACTGGCATTACTTTATTTTTGTAACACACACAAATTTGAGGAACATTGACAGACTTAAATAGTCATATTTGTCTACTGTACCCATACGTTTATCAACACATTCTTGTACTGCGTTGAACCATTGAGAAACTGAAATGTTCAATAGCCAAACGTTAGTCATTTGATTTTAAATCTTAGTGTTCTTCAGCCTCTTGTTTTGTACTGCATTTTTTGCGTTTTGATTGTCTGAAGCGCATCCGATTGTGGTTATAGAGAGTCCAGAGCCCCCTAGCACTGCCCATCCACATGGCACATCCAGAGTTATTGTTAATTGTGTGCTGGAGACTAATTACACTCCAATTCCAGGTTGCTTAATGTCAATTCTGTGCATATTTTATTTTGTGCATACTTCCATACATCTTCCCTCCCTCTCACATTGATTGTAGCCCTTCCTCCCTATCCTCTCCGCTAAATTACTTTTTTATTCATTTTTTTTTTTTATTGCTTATTTAAGTTTTGCAAGCAATAATTACAATACAACAAAAACAATGAGACAAAAAGAAGGAAAATTGGATTTCACAGAGTCTCATCACAATTTTCAAGGTTACAATAAAATACATGAAAGGCATTTTGTATCATAAATTTTCCCCCAGAACCAGGCAACAATCATCCTTGTCTATATGGATTGAATCACGAAACCACTCTACACATGCTAAGCAAATGGGGTTAGGTGGTACAGGTTTAACCATTGCTTAACTTCCTGTTTATTTCTGGTTGTGGGGAGAGGTAGGTCAGTTCAAAGCAGGGATATCAAACATTTGAGCATGGTGCGTTTAACTTAAGGAAGTGCTTCAGGAGGATTAATTAGGCATTTATGAATTGATGCATAGGGTAGTGAGTTTATTTTTAGCGTTATTGTGAGAGATGTTAAAGGACAGACTCTAATTTACTTTTTATCCGCTGCCCTCACTCTCTTTTTTTCCCTCCTGTTGTCGCTTCAGAGCTCTGAGCCGATCAAATCATCTGTGAGAAGCCTTTGATTGGACCTCCACGTGGCTCTTGTGACATCTGACTGGGGCACGCCGAGCAGCCCCGGGAAGTCACCCAACCTCCTCTTTGAGATTTTTTTGGGGGGTAACTATAGAATAATTCCCTATTGGTATTCATAACGAAAAGGGTTTGGAGAAATCCTTTAAGAGATATATAAGAAAATTATGAAATTATTGCAAGGTGAACTATATCCAGTTTAAAGGACCACTATAGTGCCAGGAAAACATACTCGTTTTCCTGGCACTATAGTGCCCTGAGGGTGCCCCCACCCTCAGGGACCCCCTCCCGCCGGGCTGGCTGGATGGAGAGGAAGGGGTTAAACTTACCTCTTTCTCCAGCGCCGGGCAGGGAGCTCTCCTCCGCCTCCTCTCCTCCTCTTCGGCTGAATGCGCATGCGCGGCAAGAGCTGCGCGCGCATTCAACCAGTCCATAGGAAAGCATTCTCAATGCTTTCCTATGGACGCTGACGTCTTCTCACTGTGAAAATCACAGTGAGAAGCGCGGAAGCCCTCTTGCGGCTGTCAATGAGACAGCCACTGGAGGCTGGATTAAAGGACCACTATAGTGCCAGGAAAACATACTCATTGTCCTGGCACTATAGTGCCCTGAGGGTGCCCCCACCCTCAGGGACCCCCTCCCGCCTGGCTCTGGAAGGGGGAAAGGGGTTAAATCTTACCTTTTTCCAGCGCTGGGTGGGGAGCTCTCCTCCTCCGATCCTCCTCTTCTCCTCCCCGTCGGCTGAATGCGCACGCGTGGCAAAAGCTGCGCGCGCATTCAGCTGGTCACATAGGAAAGCTTAACCCATTCATAAACATAGCAGTTTCTCTGAAACTGCTATGTTTATGAAAAAATGGGTTAACCCTAGCTGGACCTGGCACCCAGACCACTTCATTAAGCTGAAGTGGTCTGGGTGCCTAGAGTGGTCTTTTAACCCTATTATAAACATAGCAGGTTCTCTGAAACTGCTATGTTTATAAAAAAAAAAAAAGGGTTAACCCTAGCTGGTACAAATAGAATAGGGGATAGTCTGCTAAATACAAATAAAATAAAAAAACATAGCGTTTAACTGTGTGGGAGTTAATGACAGTGTGCAGTCACAATTGGTCACTCACAAATTTTCTGATGTAAAAGCAGCCTTGAATGGTATCTTTTCCTTCAATGTCCACTGTATTGTCCCTCCTCACACCTCCATTAGTAAATTGGCATATATGGCTCAAAAGAAAAAAATACAAAAAATGTAGTGCACTTCCAGAGTATAGTAAAAAGATTTGAATAACTTATATTTAAGTATCAAACAAATCACATGTCACCACAGGGGCGTCCTTGGTGGCATGTGATTTGTTTGATACTTAAATGTAAGTTATTAAAATCGTTTTACTATACTCTGGAAGTGCACTACATTTTTTGTATTTTTTTTCTTTTGAGCCATATATGCCAATTTACTGATGGAAGTGTGAGGAGGGACAATACAGTGGACATTGAAGGAAAATATACCATTCAAGGCTGCTTTAACATCAGAAAATTTGTGAGTGACCAATTGTGACTGCACACTGTCATTAACTCCCACACAGTTAAACGCTATGTTTTTTTATTTTATTTGTATTTAGCAGACTATCCCCTATTCTATTTGTATATGTTTGTTGAAGACAAGAGGAAGTCTTTGGGAATTTACCTGGATATTTCGCCTAATACAGGGAAGTCCCGGTCTGCTTTAAATTATATACTTTTATCACTGGGTTGTGTTCACATATTTTGTTGTTTGTGTTTTTAACCCTAGCTGGACCTGGCACCCAGACCACTTCATTAAGCTAGTGGTCCTTTAATGGGTTAGTCACTCGTGTTTGAAGCATTGGATTGGCTGAGATCGTCAATTCTGATGATCTCAGCCAAGGAGGCAAAGCCAGCACCAGCAGACTCGCATGGCACTGAAATAAAGGTAAGATTTCCACTAATTTAAGGTGCTCAGGCAACTAAATAGTGTTAACACTATAGGGTCACGAATACAAGTTCCTTTAAATAGAAAACTATCTTGTGATATATTTTTCCTCCAAAAGCATTTTAATAAAAGAAATAAGATTTAAATGAAAAAAAAACCTGTGTTCTATAGAGTGATGAGAACACCAAGGTGGTGATGGCAACTAAAATACAAACAATTTCACAAAAACTGGGCATTAAAGAACAATAATAAATATAAAATGTTTTCAGAATTTTTTGTGTTTTGTTTTTCAAAAGAAGACAAAAACTTGGCCTGAATAATGCGTCTCTAGTTCTAAATGATACATTTCTTTTGTATTTAGTTTTGGAAACCAGGGTAAAAATGCGATATTTGGTTGTGAAACCTAGGTGAACTTTTAATTGTGGCTTTGTAAAAGGATGATTTGTTCCCCTTTCCTATAATACATCTGTTAAGTCCACTTTGCCAAGAGAACTAAGATTGACATGAGAGACATTTCGAACGTTCCAAGTCCCTTGGCCAACAAAACTCTCACCATGATGAAGTTGAGTTCCTGTGTGAGATTTTGGGACACACTTGTTACCATCAGAATAAACCGGGGTGGGGAGGAGGGAGGATTTGAAAAGCAAGGTGACATTTTACACACAGATAAATTCATATTTTGTTTCTTCTATATAGAATATGACTTCTATGCAAGTGTTTCAACAAAATGTAACTTGTACACTATATATTATTAAAACTTTATAGACCATATTTATCTGCACAAAATGATTCAAGACTTCTCTTTAAAATGGGATACTTATTATATAGGAAACTTTGTAAAACGTCATAATTACAGGAATATTTTTCACAGTAGGCTATAACAAACTATTTTACCATCTAATGTCTATTAGATAAACATAACACTAGGTATATTCTCAATATCTCTTTATGGCTAAATGTTTGTTTCTCTTTGCCAATTAAGCTCTTTCTAATGCTCAGAAATTCTTTCATACATGTTAATTTCTCTTGGCACAGATGCCTTTATAGGTGGGATTTTCATTGTTTGTGTGCAGATCTGGCATCCTGAAAACATCTCCATCTGTTATATTCGTCTATATGCTTGTAGCCAAGATCCTCAAAGCTCCACGCAGCTTTAACATATGGATTTTATATAGATAAATGTGAATCTGATAAATATGAAACAAAGTTCCGCTCTGTAAAATGTTTTCTTAAAGTCGCAGCATGTTATATGTTTTGGTGCACAAAATGGCGGCGGAGTGGGGGTTACAGCTATTGCTTGCAACAATTTTTATTACTTAAACCAAACCAAGTCAGCTTTTCTATTTCAATCTAAAATCTGCAGGTCGTTTCTAGTGAATAGGGTGAGTATAACTCTTTCAAGGTTATTCACTAAAGCGAAATTCTAAATGAATTTAAGATTTAAAAAGAAACAAAGTAGCCATACTGGAAGCATAGCTGACTGGTTTGATTTTTTTATTTTTACCTTAAATTTAAGTTCACATTTTTATGCATAACTGTGTCAATGTCTACATTCAGAAAAGAACGTCAGGTAATTTAAAAGCCTTACAAGTAATATTTAGTTTATTATTGACAACTGGTCATCCTTTGCACCACTTTAGTACCGTTTTTATAATCAACTATCCCATGCCGTTGACTGAATTATATGGTGTTGGGGTTTTTGTTGGGGAGAGGGAGGTTGCTAACAAAACTGATGTTTTTACCATTAGGTGTTATAGCAAGATAGAAAAGAGTCTGCTCTTTAGAAGTATATAGAAAGCCAGGCAAATTCAGTAAAACAATGCTCTAAACATAGAATGCAGTTAAGAACTGATCGTACTGATGGCATAGTGGGATACAGGAAACACAGAAACCCATATCTAAACAAATTATGGAAAGTTCTTGAGAGTAACAAGATGTAATAAAACAAATAGCAAACTAATACAAGGCAACTATACCGGCAAATACTTACTCTGATAGTCGTAAACATTCGCATTATTAACATGGTTGTCCTATGCATTTAGTTGATGTTCAGTATGTTGAGTAACATTGAAAAAAAAAACAGTTTCCATTAGTTTAGGATCTACGAGTTCTTCTCTCGTTACTTATATGAATTTATTGGTGTGCTCTCCCTTCTCCATTATACTGTTTTTGTGTCTGTGGCCTAACCGTATATTCTTGTTATACCATGTAAGTTTACTGTTTAAATGCATATTATATGGGAAGAGTTAGGGGTACTATGTGCTAAAAAATAACTCCCAGGAAGGATTTGTTCAAGTGTTCCCCTTTGAATTTATTTTAAAATGTTCTTGTATTCCTCCTTTCTGCTAGGATGTTACTCTCTTGGTTATAAAACAAACAGAATGTGTTACATGTGTTTTTGTTGCATGGGTATAGGTATTCATATTTCATAATGAAATTATTTGTAAACCATTTTCTAATTGTAGAAATAGTAAATGTTAATTGTTTCTGCTTTTAGAGCCTGCAGTTTCCCATGGACATTGACAATCCGGAAAAGAAAACAAAGAAAAAAACGAAAGTCAAAGAAGATCTGGCAAAAAATGATGATCAGTAAGTATAAGCTATGGCAGTAAAACAAATATCCTATGCAGGTTGTTTTTCATGATTAGAAATAATGGGTTGTATAGTTATAGCACACAATGGTGGTAGTTAACAAGAGGATGTGTGTATCTAATAAATATGTGTACATGTGTACCCCCCATGTGGAACCCATGTCACCCCAATCATTGTTTTTTCCTATAGTGTCCGCTTCTTCTTGGGGTGATTGTGAATATTTCTCAAAAGCACAAAATAACTGAATCATTCCATTAATTAAGATGGCATTCAAGATGTTTATCTAGTACATATGTATTGTGATGTCACTGTAACTGCTTTATCTCACTGCAGTGGTTGTAATCTCTGGAGTCCCCTGGTGCTGTTCCCATTCAACAATTTTGATGTTTTAATGCTAAATGAGTCACCATCAACACATCCCTCTGGGCTGCTTGGACTAATGACCAAGTATTAGTCTGAGCAGCATTGGGAAGCTGAGAGTGTCAGCTGACTACTTTCAGTCTATCACAGTGCCCATTGCTGGTATGTAGTGGTATGGTTAAAAGTTAGTGTGTAATTTCTGCCTTAACCATACATCCAGTAGAGAGACGGACAGTTTGTGGCCAGAGAGCCTTATTTAGTGTTAAACAATCTTTTGCATTCAACTGTAAACATAGAAGCACAGAATGTGATGGTAGATAAGAACCGTTTGACCCATCTAGTCTGACCAATTTTCTTAATACTTTCATTAGTCCCTGACCTTATCTTATAGTTAGGATAGCCTTATGCCTATCCCACGCATGCTTAAACTCCCTTACTGTGTTAACCTCTACAACTTCAGCTGGAAGGCTATAACATGCATCCACTACCCTCTCAGCAAAGTAATACTTCCTGATATTATTTTTAAACGTTTGCCCCTCTAATATAAGACTATCTCCTCATGTTGTGGTAGTTTTTCTTCTTTTAAATATAGTGTTAATTAAGTTCCTTTACCGTGTTAAATCCCTTTATGTATTTAAATGTTTCTATCATATCCCCCCTGTGTCGTCTTTCCTCCTAGCTATACATGTTAAGACCCTTTTACCTTTCCTGATAAGTTTTACTCTATGAACCTTGTTCATGCCCTACAAGACAAACCTTATGTTACAATCCTTTACAGGTTAATTTCGTTAGATGATGAGATGCACAATATTGAAACTGGAATGGCAGGTAAGTGTTATACTATTATATGCAGATAGAGATAAATACAGACTATTGCTTTAGTCTGGGAGTATTCTCCCCTAGTGAAGTATACATTTAAACTTGCAATAGACAGTATGAGGACATCTTCATTGGTTTTCAAATGATTTGGGTGAATAGTGAAATCATTATTTGTCCTCCCGCTTAAGACATATCTTATACTTAATAACTCCTTTCTGACTGATCCTGTTGTCAAACTTCTTTTTGTTCATGACTCCCTTTTTGCCACTTTTGCGATGTTTATGTTCCACTGTATATAACACTTTCTTAAAGGGACACTATAGTCATCAGTACCACTATAGCTTAATGTAGTGGTTCTGGTGTCTAAAGCCTGTCCCTGCAGACGTTTCAATGTAAACGCTGCCTTTTCAGAGAACTGGTAACATCTCTAGTGGCAGTCACTCAGATGGCCACTAGAGGTGCTTCCTATCTCAGTGCTGCAGGGTGATGCTGAACCCTCCCCATAGCAATTCAATACATCTCTATGAGGAGATGCTGATTGGCACAGTGCAGCATTTTTCCACATATGCGCAGTAGCTTCCCCCATGGGAAAGCAGTGGATTGGCTGAGATCATCAAGATTAATGATTTCAGGCATGAAGGGGTGGCCAACCATGGCAAGACTATTGTGGTGATGTAGATAAGGTAAGCAGATCTCACCTTTTCATGCACTTGAAGGGTGACCGGGTACCTAAACATCGCAGTAACTTTAGGGTTAGGAATGCATGTTTGAATTCCTAACTCTCTAGTGCTCCTTTAAGTGCACCCATATTTTATAGTGTTTTTCAAAGTATGGATATGGCTTTCTATTGGTACCATTTATGTATGTACAGTAAAATATTACATATGTATGAAATGTAAAAAAAAAAAAAAAAAATCATGGATTTCCTTCTAACTGTGTATATGTGTGTGTGTATATATATATATATATATATATATATATATAAAAATGGGAAGTACAAGCGCTTCTATATAAAGTTTAAGATTGGAATTATATCGAACAAATTTGATGTGAGCTGCTATATCACCGTGCTTATCTTTCTATAAGAAAATCGTGGAAAAGTGGGAAGTATCGGTGTAGCGCTCTATATTAGTGGATATGAAAAGAAAACAAATAAAGGAAAACCTTGCTGTACCTTGATGGATAATATATACTAATGGATAATCCAGAGTAGTCAGGTATACCTTAAATACAAAGCACAAATATACAAAACATAGTGTAACCTGTATACAAAATGTAAAAAATAAAGTGCATAAATAACTCACTCACACTTTTCTGAGCTAATGTGCACATTTTTCCAGCTGAGGAAGCCAATTTGGTGAAACGCCCCTGGATGAACAGTGAGCAGACTATACTGTCTTTTGACTATAGCCACAAGTGTTGATTTATTGATATAGTGTATTTTTATATTTATGTAATACTTTTTATACAATAAATTATATATATATTTTTATCACACTTACGGCTTTCATTCCTACCTGCTATTACAAAGAAGGATTGTGGTCCTTAACCACATACATCTTATGAAGCGAGCCGATACATTGGCTCAGGGTTTGTGAGTATATTGGTATTGTTCATTTAATATACCTTATATACATCAGACTGTACTACTATTCTCTCCTCCTATACCTATTACCTAGGGCTATATACCTGGAGACCATTTGGACGAAAAGGAGGGAAGGGCCTCTCGGACCCTAAGCACATACCTGAGCTAGTACATTAGCTCAGAAAAGTGTGAGTGAGTTACTTATGCACTTTATTTTTTACATTTTGTATACAGGTTACACTATGTTTTGTATATTTGTGCTTTGTATTTAAGGTATACCTGACTACTCTGGATTATCCATTAGTATATATTATCCATCAAGGTACAGCAAGGTTTTCCTTTATTCATATATATATATATATATATATATATATATATATATATATATATATATATATATATATATATATATATATATATATATACATATTTACTCAATTAGTGCAACTAAAACAAATATACAAATCAAAATAGATTAATTTATTAATTTTGACAGTTAAAATGCCTCATATATCCTGGATTACTTTTTGGAAGTTATAGAACAAATATTTTAAGGAGTGAATTATGTTTTGATGGATAAACCTTTGCAGAATTCAGTGTAGTAGAGTGATGGGAACGAATGCTTTCCTATGGACTGGCTGAATGCGCACGCGACTCTCACCGCGCATGCGCATTCAGCCAATGAAGGCGGAGGAGAGATCCCAGCACCGAGGGAGCCCGGCTATGGAGAAAGGTAAGTGATTTAACCCCTTCCTCCCCATTCAGCCCAGCAGGAGTGGCACCCTCAGGGCACTATAGTGCCAGGAAAACGAGTTTGTTTTCCTGGCACTATATTGGTCCTTTAAGTTACTGCAGGTCTCAGTACTGGTTTTATTGCCTAGCATGTACTAGGGGCATTCACCTGGTTCAAAGTTGGCTTGTTTAGGAACTGTTTGACATAAACCATTTCTTCCCATTGCCCGCAAACCGACAACTCCTCAGCTGCAAATTGAACGCTTTCACATTATCGTGGTCAATTTAGTCCAACTTGCCAGCTGTAATTGACTGATTGTGCTAGGGACAGGTTAGCATTAATTCCATATTATCAATGTGCCTTATGAAGAACTGGCCTCTGTGCTCCAGGAAGAGTCCCAGATTATGTCAAACCATTTCTAAACCCTCTTACATTAAATCTTGGATGGAGCCAGCACAACATAACCTCTGCAATCAGCTTAGAACATCCCTTTTTTTCTTCTTTTTTTTATTTTAAACTTTAATGTAGAGAATTCGTACAATATAAATGTGCAATAAAAATAACATTTGTTTAACAGAGAAACAATGAGATGGATCAGATTAATGACAGATCAAAGAGGTAGAGGTGTGTAAAATTCCAGTCTAAGTTAGTTCAGATCAGTGAAAACAGTACTCAACTCTAAATTTTAACCCAAAGTTCAAAACAGGAGGAAGTAGAAGGGAACTCCCTCCTCACGTGCACCCCAATCCATGGGTCCCAGAAATAAAAATAAACAGAAGTAAGTACCCTGTTACGAGGCCATTATTGTGTAGAATACCCCCGTAACGGGAAAAAAAAAAAAAATTCAACAAATCAACATTGTAAATTAAGACAAACATGCTGTGGGATTTTCTATAATATAAAGCTTTGTTATAAATACAGTTTATTTATGTATGTTCTTATTTTATATTTTGTAAGCCTCAGAAGCTGAACTGGATAAAGGAACCCTTCAGAGCCATTCTTCATTTGAAGGTATTTGTCTATATGTCTGTCTGTCCTTCTGCCTGCCTTTTTATGCCCTTCAGTTCCTACAGCGTTAGCACACATTTCCGACATGTTGAAGATAGGGAGAAGTTGGCTGTGGATAGCAAGCTCTGTTCCAGCATATATCAGTTAGTACAGGGGTTAGGCATCTGAAGCTGAGCAAGGTAAGCCTTCAGAGCCCTTCTGAGTTTGTGTGTTTCTGTCTATATGTCTGTATATATTATGTATAATGTGTAAGATTACATGCCAATAGTGTAAAGATGTGATTGACTTTTTTTTTTTTTTCTTTGGTCGCTAAGGATTTGGAAGACACAAATATAAGATAATCACTCCATGTTTATAAGCTAGGGTTTGTGTGTCTATAATTTATCTGTAAGCAGTTGTATTCGCACAGTAATTTGTTTTTGTATGTTGAAAATACTCTATGTGAGTGATCTCCTGTTGGATTTATCTAAGCATTGTTCTTGTGATGTATGTCATTTGTAGGTGCATTTGATGATTTGCTAGATTTAAAGCCTGAAGAGAAATTTCTTTATGAAGAAAGTGGTATGTAAAATGATGTCAACATATATGTCTTTCTATTTGGTTCTGTGGGTAGAATTTGTATATTGAAATAAGTGCTTGCACTCATTCTTTTGCAAGGGGTACTGCCGTTGCAAAATGCAAACACAAATCATGGACCACTTGGCGAGCACCAATACGTGTTTTGTATTGGCCTTCCGCCCTCCTTTGCCAAAATGTCAGTTACTCTCAAATTGTATCAATTGTCTGTGTTCAGTATCAGCTGGTCTGTGTGCCATATGCTCTGTGAAATTTGTTTGTGTACTGTGTTGGTACCTAATAAAGCTGAATTATTTAATCAACATGAGTCCACATTGTGAAGCTGTAAAGCTCTTTTCAACATAATATATTTAAATTCAGACCGAATAATTCTCTTAGGTTAACACAAAGACAGTGGGATTGAAGACGGGATCAGATTCTCGTCTATTGACCTTGTTATACTTTGTGTGTGTGTGTATACAGTGCATATACAGATATACACAGTGTGTGTGTATACAAACATCTTCAGTATGTGTAGTAGAACATGGTCAATAGATGAGGATCCAATCCAGTCCTAATTCCCACTGTCTTTGTATATATATTAGATTTATTAAAGTTTAGGTTCTCCTGGATTCTGGACTCTTTTCTCTGAACCTGTTTGCTGGCCTAAGCCTTTAAAGGACCACTATAGGCACCCAGACCACTTCAGCTTAATGAAGTGGTCTGGGTGCCAGGTCCAGATAGGATTAACCCTTTTTTCTGTAAACATAGCAGTTTTCAGAGAAACTGCTATGTTTACCTATGGGTTAATCCAGCCTCCAGTGGCTGTCTAATTGACAGCCGCTAGAGGGCTTCCACGCTTCTCACTGTGATTTTCACAGTGAGAAGACGCTTGCGTCCAAAGGAAAGCATTGAGAATGCTTTCCTTTGGACTGGCTGAATGCGCGCGCGGCTCCTGCACGCATGCGCATTCAGCCGAAGAGGAGGAGAGTCCCCGCCCGTCACTGGAGAAAGAGGTAAGTTTATCCCCCTTCCTCCCCCTAGAGCCCGGCGGGAGGGGGACCCTGAGGGTGGGGGCACCCTCAGGGCACTATAGTGCCAGGAAAACGAGTATGTTTTCCTGGCACTATAGTGGTCCTTTAACATTATCTACACTATAACTATATCCTAGCAACTGTATCTATGTTTTAGGTCCTACAGCATTAGTGTAACTATGTTGGTTTGGAGAACATATTAAAATATAGGAAGAAGGAGCACTATTTCAATTTCTAGGCTGCTAATTCAGGATTGTACGAATGTTTCCACCTAACATTTTTTTGGTGTCTTTTGAAATTTTCATTTGCTGGTTTTTTTTCCCTTTCATTTTTACATTAGCAAAAAGGACATTCTTCTAAATAGCATTTTGTTTTTGAGGGGTGGGCTATTCACCAATATGAGACATTTATATGCAATGGAATTTTAATAAATGTTTACTAAGATTTTAATTGGTGTTATCTTTTTGTGCAAAATCTAACTCTTAACCAATTTTTTTTTTTAATTACTATTCTTTTTTCTGGCTTTTTTTGGTCAGTGGCCAAAAACATTTGTGCACTCTAGAACTGCATTGTGTTAAGTACCTGAGGGTATTAGATAATTCATTGATTTAATACATTTGATTAATGTGGAGCAGATTAAATGAATGTAAAATGTAAACTTTTGTGAAGAAAATACTTCCCAATGAAACAGAGAATATATATGTAAAGAGACTGGCTATCTAAATATATATATTGTTTAAATTGGTAATTGATATCCAGAAAGCTAAATGTATACTTTTTCGTCCTTTTAAGCAAGTTCTAAAGACCTTCTCGATTCAGACTTTGGAGATAAGGATGACATGCAGCTTCTAAACGACATTCTAAGTTCTTCGTCTTTAGAAAGTGGAGATCTTGGCAAAGAATGGATGGATGTGTTTGGTGAACCTATGTATCCTGCCCAACCCTTGAACCCAAACACTGGAGAAACAGACAAAAATGCTGAATCCTCATCTGGTTTCCTCCCTTCTCAGCTCCTGGACCAAGACCTGAATGACCTCCAGTCTTCTTTTCAAGGCAAGTTTTATTTATTTGTTTTATTGTTAATTTTAACCACTTAAGGACACGTGACGGAAATATTCCATCATGATTACCTTTTATTTCAGAAGTTGTGTCCTTAAGGGGTTAATGTTGCACACTGCATTTAGTCAACTTTGTTTACACTTTTTTTGGAGCTTTGATAAATCAGGAATTCTCTACAATTAATTTGACCCCTTTTTAATATATACCTTAGTAGGTATTTTTCTCCAGCAGTAATAAGTCTGAAAAGCTCAAAAATGTGTACCAAATTTTCTATTGGTTATTCCCTTGGAACATGAGCCTGAATTTTAGATGTAGAAACCTGGAGAATGTACTTCATACAAAAAAATTCATAATGGAACAATGATAATAACGTCAAATAAAGCTTTAACCCCTTAAGGACACAGTTTCAGAAATAAAAGGGAATTATGATGGAATATTACTGTCATGTAATATTAAGGGGTTAAATGTAGGCTATATCAGCTTTTGATATTCTGAAAGCACCACAAAAGTCCTCAGGGTTACAACCCAAGATTTGTGGCAATCACACTTCTTGGCTGCACGGTGGTTCGGTCATTAGTTATTTTACTCTACAACTAATGAAATGCTGGGAAAGAGTCTGTGAAAAGAAGGGACAGTGTATCTCTCTTTACATTCCACCCTCCTGGCATATGAGTGATAGAATAATAACCTTATTAAAGCGGCACTGTTACCCCCTTCCTCTCCCCCCTGAGAAATTAGTATTTAATAAAGACAGAATCTCTATAAATGCTCGTATTGACTGTGTTAAACCCAACCCAGTCAAAAGATGTACCGAAACAAAGTAGGGACTACTTTGCATCAGTATTTTTCCTTCACCTGACACTTCTAGACACTGGGCGGAGATACCACCATCAAGAAGTGTCAACCCCCTAGCCGTCACCATAGATCTTAAAGTTGTACTCTTGTACATGCACGAGAATGTAGCACTGATGTTGGCTCCTGACGCTGAAGAGGACCAACAAGGTAAAGATGGTGGCGCCCGCTAGGGAGAAGTTTAGGTAAGTAGAACTCACCATTTTCTGTCCCTCCTGGCCACCATATCCCCAGCAGCAAAGGGCTGTTTTAAAGAAAACTATAGCATTAGGAATACAAACCTGTATTTCTCACAATATAGTGCCCCTGTCCTAGCTTTACACAGCTCCTCTCCTGTTTCCAAGAAAGAAATTAAAGATTTACTTACTTTATTCCAGCCCTTAGGCTCCCTCTGCACTGCATACCTCTCAGTCTCCTCCGACTTCACAGGGTCCAGCACCGGCCAGTCCAGTGCTCCTCATACTTTCCTGTGGAGGCCTCCGTATTACATGACTGAGTTTTCCTCGGCCAGTTCAGTGAAAGAACATCTAGTAACATTGTGACAGCCACTAGATGTAGATTTAAAGGGCAGGGCCACTGCATCCTGACCATTCTTTGAGATGAAATGATCCAGGTGACTGTTCCCTTTAATGACAGAAGCTGCAAATAGCAGTGTGACTCTCATTAATTCTGCCCTTTCCCATACACCTGGAGAGGGCCTGTGTAGGTAAAAACATGGTCAGTTCTCTCCATAGCAGCAAAGTCCTTGTATATCGGTAATGGATGGGGGACTGAATCAAGGGCAGCAACAGCTGCTGTCAATGAGTTTGACTCCATTTAAAAAAGAAAAAAAAAACTGACTCCCCCCAATCCTGAACATGCTAGGTCATGTCTTTATGCTGCCCTTTGAGTGATTGAGCCCTATCTCTGACCATTCTATAAAATATAATATAGTATAATAGGTACTCAATGGTGAAATATGAGTCAGATTAAAATAACTCAATTTTGGGGTTTACATCTATAACTAGCTGGCAGATCGGGTTTGTATCTTGGGGTTCTTAGGTTTATAGCTGTGGCCAAGTTCTCCCTGCAGTCTGTTCCTCTTTGGCTGGCATCACTTCCACTTGCCAGAGGGGATGGGAGAGCAGAGAAGATGGGCTAAGGGGAGAACATTGGGGGGGGGGGCATGCTACCATTGGCTGTCTGGTGTTTGCATGCTGTACGTGCTGGTATTAGATGCCAAAGGTGTGCAGGAATTCTTGTTCCAAACTGGCTAATGGCACCCCAATGGTGTGGCCAGAGGTGAAATTACACTTCTGGCAGCAGACGGGTTAAACTCTGTATGTACAGAGTTTGGTTAAGAAATGCTGCACATAAAGACTTCAGGCTCCAATCAGGGAAGTGGTGACGGTGCTTAGAGTAACCCTTTAACTATTCTATTCCATAATGCTTGTTGTGCGTGTTGTATGTTGCTATTGTTTTTTTACTGTGAGAACCTTAATAACAAAAAAGATGACGATTAAGTGTGTGTTAGGAAAATGTAGTCCTTTGTTTATAATTCTGGAAACATTAAAAAAAGAAAAGTTAAACTTGTGTCTTGTAATCTCTCATAACATCCGTAATAGCTTATTTTTGGTTTCCTGGATTCAAAATACTCTTATCTTAAACAGTCTACTCTTAAACCCTCAAAGCAGTTTTACTATTTACCATAGAGCATGCTGAATATGAATTAGTGATAATTGGTAAATGAGAAAATTCCCTTGTGGTTCATATTTATGTAACTGAGAAAACATATTATTTATGGTAGAGACGTTATTGCATGTTTAATGTAATGTGGTTTAATATTGCTTTACAGACTGGACTGCTGGTAATGTGACCTCTCCAACACCTCAGCCCACACCTCCATCAAGCTACCCAAGTACAAATATTAATAAGCTACAAATGAAAGGTAACTTCAGACTTCCTTCCTGGCATATTTTACTAAAATTATATATGGTTTCCATGTTGTAATGAAGGTGTGAAATTCAACAGAGTAACAAACATTGATGTTTTTTTAGGAATACATTACAAGAATATATTTTAAATGAATCCTTCTGTAGAACAGTGTAGACTAGAGTGTGGAATATACTTTGGTGGAATTCCTTAAAGAATGTTACTGTGGTTTTTACCTGCAGAGTTATACACTAAACTATAAGATTTTGGAATCTGGCAATTGAATTTCACATATTAGGTCAAAAAAGCAGAATTAGAAGATAGACAGAGGCAGAAAATGTCTCTATTTCTGCTGCTTTGGCTCAATATGTGAAATTGCGTAGTAATGTTTGACAAATGGTTTGGTAAACCTGCTAGTCTTTCAGAGCAAGGGTCCAGATGATGATGATAAATGCAATTTTATTCCATAAAACAGAGTTGCTGCAATATTTTCCCTGCAGAAATTGTTGACTGTTGCTCCCATAATTCTGGCAGCTGTTTTAGTCTGTCGGTGTATGAGCTTTCAGAAAAATAATAGGAACTGTAGTTCCCCAACAACTAGAGGGCTTATACGCCTTTCTTCACCAAATGCCCGGACCTGAGGTGGTGGATAATAAAAATATGGCATGCATATGAATATGGCAGGCAATATTCTGTTCACTGTATATTAAGAGCAGTGGGATTTCTAAACATGGGCTTGTAACAAGTCTCTAGCCAAGAAGATAAATAAAAATCTTTCTGGAGAAAAACACCTTCAGTAAAGTAGAAGCCTTTTAAAGACCCTGTTTGTTAAGTGTTCTTGCATAGCAAGACCACTTAATGTTATCTCACATATATATTATTCTTATTCTTATTATAGCCAAATTTACCACCCTAACTCCTCCCACAGTTTTTACACTACATAGACAGTAATATACTGAAACGTGCGGATTGTTCCCGGTTGGTGTGCTATTACTTTGTGAAACGTTTCGCCAAATGGTTCACGAAATATCGTCGTTCTTGTGGCAAAATTGGTCCCATAGGAATGAATGGCAAAATGTTCAAAACTAGCGTGGGAGCTGGCAAAAGCTGAAAAATCAGGACATGATTTCTCAACTGCCACCACTCCCTCATTTTCAAGCTCCCCTACACAAATCTTATATCAAAATGTTCAGCTATCCCTGCTGCCACTAAACATGTCCACGGCTAAGCCATAGTCCTGATAGTTTTCACAATATGACCATTTATTTGCAACTCACGCCATCCATTGACATTCATTGAAACTCCACTGCAGCCAGCTTAAATTTGAAGAGCAATTTCTAAACTGCGACTGTGCCTTCATTTTTAATACTTCAGAGACATATTATGCATCAAAATGTAGGCCTGGGTCTTGTGATTCTCACAATATAAAGCTCTTCGCTGTAGGATTTATAGTTTTTAAAATGCGACCGTTTGAAGATGGCAGGCTGGAGCAGCAAGTGATGTCATAGACAGGGCCTTTTGTACACCTGCTAATGTTTTTATAAATTTATGTTTTAATGTAACTGTGAAGCACTTTGGGCAACAACGTTGCAATTAAATGTGCTATATAATTAAATAAAAGTTGCATTTCTCACTCTATCAAGCTTGCCATGTGCACTTTTTTAAATTTGATCAATCAATTGGTTAGTGTAATGTTTACTATCTTTACTCACTCCAAACACTCCACACAGTTACTCTGCCCACTCCATAAAGTTACTCTGCCCAGTCCAACCTTTCCACAGTTACTCCAGCCACTCCAACCACACAACAGTTACTCAAGCCACTCCACCCAGTTACTCCACCCACTCCAGTTGTAGACTACTGGTGGAGGCAAGAACACTTCACACAATTTCCCCAGAAATTGTAGCTTTCCTAGTTTCAGATGGTCTTTCCACATTGGGATTCACAATGCATCGCTGAGCAAGCCTCGGTCCATAGTAATGTCTGCCAAAGGGCAGTCCCCTTTTGGCTCCCCACTGCACTGATCAATCTTAAATAGAAGCTCTATTTTCAGAAACCATTATTCCACTCATAGAAAGCGTGTGCCACACAATACACAGCTGATGTCATAAGCCGTGCTATCAACACTCCCCAACACATGCCTGTAAAGATGCACACGTGCAAGTTTGCTTGCATATTTAAATCAGAATAAACCTACACTGAACAAAGTTATAAACGCAACACTTTTTTGTTTTTGCCCCCATTTTTCGTGAGCTGAACTAAAAAACCTAAGACTTTTTCTATGCACACAAAAGGCCTGTTTCTCTCACATATTGTTCACAAATCTGTCTAAATTTGTGTTTGTGAGCAAAGGAGAAGTGCTCACTAAGAAGTGCTCACACAGATTTAGACAGATTTGTGAACAATATGTGAGAGAAACAGGCCTTTTGTGTGCATAGAAAAAGTCTTAGATCTTTGAGTTCAGCTCATGAAAAATAGGAGCAAAAACAAAAGTGTTTCATTTATAATTGTATTCAGTGTATATAAATCTTCACCAAGCCAAAAAAAAAAAGCACATACAAATGCTTAGTTTGTTTTTTTAACAAGCCCTATCATTGCTCCATTTACAGTTTATAAGCCTAGACCTAGAACTGGGCATTTATATATAACACACACACACATATATATATATATATATATATATATATTATTGTAAAAATGCTGTACAATTGAGAGTCCATTCCTGCTGGACAAAGATTACATAACATACTTATTTTTTTCCCTGTCTTTCACCTTTCAGAGAGCACCAAACCTGCTAAAGACCTGTCTGCTTGGTACAATCTCTTTGCTGACCTGGATCCGCTATCTAATCCTGATGCTGTTGGGAAAACCGATAAGGAACATGAACTGCTGAATGCCTAAAACTGTTCTCTGGCAAAGCATTTTGAACTCTGCAACCACCTAACACTCAAAAGGCCAATTTCAACAAGAAAGGAGTATGCTGCAGGGAATACAAATATAACCTTTTTACGGAAGTGCCACTTTTTCTTCTATAAATAAAATGTTTGTTTTCTTGTTGTATAATATGAATGATAAATAAAAGATTTCTAAACAGATTTAATGTATTTGCCAAAACATATGCTTGAATAACTAATTAAGGGAGAGCAAGTCTAGGAGCATATTTTTATAAAATCAATTGTTCAATTTGAAATGATTTATTGAGAAGGCCAAAATTTGTGTTTTTATTTTGGTTGTCTTAGTTTATTTTTTGTTTTTAGTTTGCTTTTGTCTGGTTCAACCTACAACCAAAACATTCCCATTTGGCCATATCAATGTGAAATTGAAGCTTTAAAGACCTTGGGCAAGAACGTATTTTATTTCCATATCTGATCGCAAACTTGCTTGTCTGAAAAATGACAAAAAAATATATATCTGGCCATTTTTAACAGTGTGATTGGCATAATTTCTGCAGAATTTATTTTTTTTCAAAAAGTAAAATCTCTTTAAGCAATGAGTTGTGATGAGTGGACAAATCAGTTGCGAAATTTAGGTCCTATTTTGGCCGAACATTTATGTAGCCATTATTATTATTCATTGTAAATTTAAAGACCAAAATGACTTTATTTTTAGCTAAAATCTTGCAACTAATGATACAATTCACAATGTATCTGTACAACATGCATCAAAAATGTAATGCCACAAACAAAGTCTGATTTCGGTAAATATTTTGGCATGCCTGCAATGTCACTAAAGAAATTCTGTAATAAAGTTTGTTTTTCTCAGTTTATCCTTGTGTTTTTCATTTTTGACGTTCATTCATTAGCTCTTATTTTGGTCTAAAGTTGGTTCTGTACATTATACTGCTGGCAGCGACAAATTTAATTAGACTAGCACAAGCATTACTCAAAATGCCACTTTCTTGCATCTTTAGTGTTACAGATTTTCAGGACAGAGCATTGATTGACTGAATTTGGTAACCGTTAGACTTGTGCACAAATCTTTTTGTGCTGTGTAGAATGAATCAAATTATGAACGGACCAGTCCAGTCGACTCTCCAGGTAAATCCCTAAAGAATAGATGAATTCAGATGTAGATTAACAGGAATTTGATTAATTCGACGTAGCTGAAAAGTATTTAGTTTGTTGGCTACATCTTTAAGAAGACAGGTTTTTATTGAAGGAACACTATAGGGTCAGACTGATCCTATAGTGCTAAACCCACAATTTAGGTGGCTTGACCCGCCTCAGTCCCCTTAAAAGTAATTAAAACTCCCCTTATTTCCAGCGCCGCGCGGGTCCACCTTTGCTGGCCCCATCTCCTTAGTGACATCAGAATTGCCGATTTGTAGCCAACCCAATGGGAAAGCATTGGATTGGCTAAAATCGGCAAGGAGGTGGGATGGGGGTGAAGCCAAATGCTGTTTTGGCCAATCAGTACCTCCTCATTTAGATGCATTGAATCAATGCATCTCTATGCGGAAAATTCAGCGTCCCCATGCAGAGCGTGGAGATGCTGAACGGCAGTGCTGAATACTATGCAGCACTGCCCCAGGAAGCACCTCCAGTGGCCATCTGAAAAGAAAGTGTTTACATAAAAATGCCCGAAGGCAATGACTATACTCACCAGAACAACTACATTAAGCTGTAGTTGCTCTGGTGACTATAGTGTCCCTTTAACATTTATATTGATATCTTAACATTCAAAGTTAATATCACATTCATCGGTAATGTCCTTTAACCCCTTAAGGACCAAACTTCTGGAATAAAAGGGAATCATGTCATGTGTCCTTAAGGGGTTAAAGCAAAACTCTAGACCTATAAGCATTCCATCTCACTGACTTGGTTATAGTGCCCAGAGTTCCCTGTCACTGTCCCTTTATTCAGAGTTAAACCATTTTTGAGCAGTTTAGCACTAATGATCGAACTTGGCAGCCCACAGCTCTGCCCCCACTGGAAGCATGGCTAACGCAGAGATTACACACGTTCTTAGTCATACCAATTCACACCAGCAATTTACAGCTGTGATTGGCTAAAAACTGTCTGGTGATACTCCCACCCAATGACCATTGCTGCTCAGGACTCCTCTCTCATCAGCCCAAGCAGCACAGAGGGGATGAACTGCTGGGGACTCCCATTTAGTGTTAAACCATTATTAACAGTTTAACACTGAACTACAGTGCAGGGGGATTCCAGAAACTATAACCACTTAAAGGAAAATAGTCAATTACAGTGCCTACATTTTCTCTTTAAAGACTGCTTTCATACATGAATCTGTTTACACATTTTATCTCGTTTCAATATCTCTAAGTGACTGGACAATAGAATATCAGGTACGCTCTACAAATTAGAAAACCTACCAGGATACACCATGCAGACCCAGGACAGTTAGTTGGCTACCCTCCTGGATTGCCACTTTGTCTGCATGAAATCCAAACTTTTTGGCGGTGGCCATTTTGGATAGTACTCAAACAGCTGCTCTTCCTTTACCTTCTAATTACAGATTTTAAACCTCATAACATTAACATTCTGGTGGGGATGTCTGCAGATTTGTCATGGAACAGACTAAGTTTGAAGTTGGCAGCTTTCATTGTAGACAAGAGGATTTGCTGAAACCAAATCTTTGTGCTTGCTAAGGGGTCTGGCAACTATTCCTGTCTCCATCCCACTTGGCTGAAGGGGTTATCACAGTCCATTTTATCATGTCCCCTCCATATTTCTTGAGCCAGAGAGTTCTACTTAACCCTTAATAGCATCAAACAGTGGCCAATAGCAATCCAGTGAGATTTTACCACAATATATCATGGCAGACTTTTAGAGACTCTCTGATCCATCATTGCATCTTTGTCCATCTTTTGGCAATATAGCCATACTTAAATCTGTCCTGGACAAGTATGGAATGTTTGGTAAAGGTGCATATAATCTGTCTGCCTATTAAGTGGCTTAGTCTTCATACCACTAAAGGACTCTACCTTACGTTCCCATATGTGCTGATTTCTTTGTAACTCAGAGGATTGGTGCATGTTCGTTAAGTGTTTCCCCCGGTTCCTATTATCTCTTTATCTTACTTGCAACTCTCCAATTCCAGATACTATGTACAACTCAAGACAATTCTATATTTAGCCGGGATGATCAGTTGGTTTCTGTCAGGGTGGCGGTCCGAAGACCGGGACCCCTGTGCCTGATGTAGATAATGAGAGGAGTCTTCAGCGTGGAAGTGGATAAGTAGGGCCTGGTGCAGGGTAACCACACGGCCACTTACCAAGACCCTGATGCAGCTTAGTGGAAGCCAGAGCAGATGAATTGCTGATATGTATCCAGTGCTAGAAACAAGGTAAGATTAGAATAGGCACCAAACAAGAAAAAAACTAGAAGACCCCAGAACCAGAGAAGGATAGAAAGCAGAACCCAGAACATGTACACAATACATAAGGGAAGCATTGGCAGGACAGGACTGTACATGGACAGGGAATACAAAATAAAACAAGACGAGATATAAGGCAAAACAAGAGGAGACATAACTAAGTAATATATTTGTAAAAGATTGGAGATTTAGACATACACAAATGGCCAAGATGTATGCAGCCCACCACTGCACCAAAGTACTCTCAAGTACAGTGGGTCCTAACTGCCTAGATATGCATGTCTAAATAAACAACAATAAAACGCACACAGTACTCACTTGCAAAGGAGGGGGCAGAGGACATGAAACAAACATATAAAGGAATCCAGGAGATTGGGAATTCAAGGAACGGAATAAAGGAATGAACCCAGAAAACCCAGCATAAAGAAAACCAGACACAGAATAGAAAACCAGAAAAACTAAACAAGAATTGTAAAAAGAGTACTGGATACCTGAAGTCAAGGCCAGACAACAGAACGGGGCAGAGCAGTTGCTGACAGTTCTTTGAGATGGAGACATATTTCTTTCCAGGGTGGGCTCCTCCTCCTTTGGAATGGGGGTGATCCAGAAGTTGTTTATTAGTCTCTCCTGCCCATGGGGGTATCCTGTTTTGGATGTTTTTAGGTTGTAAGCTCATTTGGGCAGGATGTTCCAGTATGTCAAAAATGTTTTGTTAGAATTGTGTTTTGATTATTGTTGGCTCAACTTTCATTGCTGTTTACTTGTATACTTACTTTTTTAATTTCTGTCCTACTTATCCCGCCCTATTCTCTCCATTTCTTAGTTCCGTTACTACATATGCTCTACTTCTTCCTTATTTTTATCCTTCTCCATCTTTTCTTTTCTCTATATGGGCAATGTAGTGCTAGCTTATAACCCAGGATGGGAAGCTGGTTTGTCACCAGTTCTACTTTGTTACTGCAATGGCTGCCATTAAGATACTAGTTTTGCCCCTTAGCATTCCACTTTTCAAGATTAATTATGCTATCATAGATCAAATTATAGAGTAAGTCCATTGCTTCCAATATGTCCCCTGATGTACAATGTCATAACAATGATGCTAGGTCTTCCTTCTTTTTTCTTTATCTGCTCACAATGCACTTATTTCTTAAAACTTAATAAAAAAAAAAAAAAAACATTCACTAAAAACTACCTTATATGCAAATAGATAATAGCATTATGTGGGCTTAGTGAAAGTATCACCTAAATGACCAATGGCATGCAAAACATACCATATGAGGGATCTGCTTAACACCTGGTCCAGAAGAGGTTAAATAGTCATAGAGAGGTGTAGAATTAAACCCAAATGTCAGTGCAGCTATTTCTGTTATTACTGTGGCACAGAATCTTGCTGTTTGATCATTTTAAATTGTTGCATTTTGCACACTTTCATTTGAGTTAAATAGATTTAATCACATTGTTCTTCAGTTCTCTGTTCTTGGCACACGTGAACGTATCTGGTCTCTGAACAGAAGTGTCCACAGCGTGAGATCCCAAGTGACACACCAGTACAGAAGACATTT